GGAGGAGCGATAAATTGACTCTGCATTCTTTGTATTTCGCGCCACCGCGGCAATTAAGGATCAGCGGGCAGCGCAAGTACTAACCTAGGCTTCAGCGCTTAGGTGCCATTATCTGTCTCGCGTGGTGCAGCCAGACGGACTTTCCCACAGGACGGGTATCTGTGTCGCAATCTGAGGCTGGCCTCCGTGTCCAGAGATTCCGGCGCGATTGCCGGTGTGAAACCCGAGATGCGTGAGTCAACTGAAAAACACACAGAGTGGACAGGAAGAGAATAATGTGTTAATTAATTTGATTTTTCTCTAGCATGGTGAGTGATTCCGATCGATTCTGACACACTCGCACACATCCTCACGTCGGTCCGGGACGATAAGAATCTCATCCCGGCAGGGCCTTTGCCAGAGGCCGCGGAGGGAGCACAAAAATCTCGTTGGGAGGTGCACAAGTGCGACAAATGGACGATCTCTCGGGGGATGGTCGATGGGATTTCGGTCGCTAATTGAGCCGAAGATCTCTCCATGTGAGAAACGCATCTCGTCCACTCCTCTGGGAACGATCTAAGAGGTGGTCTCGAGTGGCCAGAGTAAATATAGCTATCATGTACCATCCAATAGCCAATAATTAGTAACCTGAAACTTATCTCGGCTCTCACACGTTACAGCCATCACCTTCCAAGAGACATAAATATTCCTCAAGCAGAGCGCAAGAGAAAGATCTCTTTTAATAGTTTTGTCTCCGCGCTCGATGATTTACCCGAATCCGTTTCTGGCCGATTCCTCAGGAGGCAACGCGCGTGGCAATAAAATGTCACTCGGAGTAATGGCGGGTCAGGGAATTTGACTTTTGGGTGGGCCACACATCAGACTTTTATCGGCAGAAATATGGAAATGACGCCTTCATTCGGCGATCGTCGTGACGAGTGCGTGAAGATACCGGGAAGTGCCGTGGAAGATCCACTTTTGCAGGAAGTCGCTGTCAGCACCACGCAAATTCCTCCAAGGCGACTCTTTGATCTCTCAAGTCACTCCGGAGGAAATGTCTTGGGCGGCGGTATTAGTTTCTCGCATAGCGACTGTCTTCGGTATCAATTAGGCGCTGAGACCACGACTGGAGGTGTATTTTTTGTCAATCAATTTCTCATCATTCATGAAATATGCAACTGATTTTTTTCCGTCGATTCAACAGGTTAATCTATATTAGGAATAGAACTTCATTAGCCACACGCATAAATATATTTTTTTTATCGTTTTGATTTGGTATCTAAGATTGAGATTTTAGTGGGTCTGAGAAAAATTTAGGTTTCACTGGAAATACTGGAGACATAATATTTTATTTTGTTCTTACTTGGTGATATTTTAATCACCCAAGAAAGAACGTGAAAAAGTGCTTAAGAAGTGGAAGTGTTTCAATATTTGCAATATTATACTGTTTGGAAAGCCATTTTTAAACCAATTGATACATTTTTTTTTAATAAGAACTTAAATTTCTTTTAACTTATCCTGAAGAAAAATTCATCAAAGTAATTTTTTATGATTTGTGACTAATTAAAGCAAGACTTGGTAAGCAAATAACCTTCAAAACATCAATTCTCACAGCCAAAGTGGAAACACTTTTATTTATTAGCAGAAAATAAACAATTTCATTCAGTAAAGATCGCAGTTTTGGTTTTAGTCTCTAGAAGAGTTTAAGAAGTGTTTGGAAGTGTTAGGACGTGGTGTACAGATCTTAGCCATATTATTCTCCCTTGGTATAGTGTAGTGCCTAGACTTTTGATTGGGGTTAACTGGAAGTGCAAAAAAATCGACGTGGTTCCAATTCTGAAACTGCTTTCTCCGCATAAGTGCTAAAGCGTGCTCGCCCAGCAATAAAAGCTCACTTTACAGCACACGGCAAATTGGTGAATTTGTCCAAAAGCCAGGCAAGTAATTGGGTATCGGCGTGATGGTTGTCCCGGGCGATATCGGGAAATTAACAAACCATTAAATCAGCAGTAAAAATGTGAATTAAATTGATCATTTAACACCCCACTCAATCAATTATCGAGGCATTTTAATTGATTTCAGCAATGGAGGAATGCTGTCCTGCCACGCTGAAATCATGTTGAATTCTTCTCACCTCCAAAGAGACTCCCCAGCAAATTCCCTCTGTGTAATTTATTGCACCTTGCGTGAGGGCCCGAAAAAATTGAGATTTCAAAAGAGTCAATTTGGGATCGAACAGTCCAACCCTCGTTACTAATTTCTGATGTGTTTAACAGCATACTTAGAGATCGAGCCCGGCGATATCTCAAGGAAATATGAGTGGAAAAAAGTGTCTCGCTCAGAAATGTGTCGCCTCCTGATAAGTCGCAACTTATCTGGTGACTTATTCGCCCTCTTCTCACACCTTTTCTCAGATCCAGAGGCCTTCCCCTAATGGTCGGGGCGAGTGAATGGAATTCATGAATAAAACAGAGACGAAATCGAGGCAAATGGATTTTCGGATGTGTCCAGTCACAACAAGCGCGATCGCGGTCAGAAATGAGCCCGAAATAGTGGATAGAGGAGTGATAAGGGAGAGAGGCGACCGCACGGTCGCCCATATACCGTTGCGAGTCCCCGAGGAGGGCACCTCGAGATGCCCGGCCGGCGGGAGATTTACGAGATGTAATGGGCAGTTGTGGCTTATTTATTGATCCGTTTAGATGGTATTTATACATTGGGTGAGAGATAGATTTCGGGACGCTGGAGTGACACGCATTGCCTCACAAAAATTGGCGACGTGGGTGCCATGCAGGTGTTGAACCTACCAGTCAGTGAGCTCCAGAGACTCCGTCTCAAATTACATCCTCGCCAGATCTCGCGCCGAGTGTCTCTTTCCCCCCTCCGGGCTGGGGGGGAATCATCGCCACATGCGCTCCATAGGTTGAAGGGAATTTGTGGAGTTTGCCGCTCCGCTGATGGCATCAGTTCGCGAGGGGAGAACAACTTGAGGAATTGCCATAAATGTCATCATACAACGGCATGAAACAAGAAATACGCGATCTCTATGAAGCAATTTATATCCCGAGTGCGTCTTCTCTTTGTCAAAGAATTCCTTACATTGATCGCATTTTGGATGCGTTCTCGTGTACTTCTTCCTGCCTTCTTCCTCGTGCTTTTGCATATCTTTCGGACGCAGCATCGAAACTTGGGAGGAGGGCATTTTTTATGCCTCTCTCTCTCGCTCAGTGCCTTTCAGTTGTGCTGTTGTTTTCCATTCAAAAGTCACCGGGAAGGGGATTTTATTAATGAATTGAGTTATTTGACGGTCACCAGAGAGTCAATAAACGAAAGAGTCTTTAAAAGTTTGTGCAAAAATAAATTTTGGACGTTTCCTCGCCGCACACTTCGATGATTTTTCGGTGAGAAAATACTCAAAATTCTTTACCATTCCATAGATTCCCAAAAAAAAGGTGATCCAGGTGAAAAATCTACACTTTCATTACCACTTCAGCTCCCTCAGATTTATCTGTTATTTCTGATCTTCACATTTTCTTTTGCCGAGGCCTAAAAATCACCTGTCGTCCCTTTTGAGAAAGTGTTGGTGGAAAAAAATTCGATTGAGGTCAGAGTTATTACAGCAAAACTGCCCGCCTAAAAGACACCACAAAGAATCGCATGCAGAACTCCAGGATCGGCCATCAATTACGACAAATTTACCATCACTTTAACACTAATTTACGTACTTAGCAATCTTCTACAAAGTCTTCGAGAGCGCACGGCGAAATAGATAAGAAAACTGGCAGTGAAGAGTGATTCTCGAGAGCAGTTCCTCATCTTTCTCATCGCTCTGCTTTTGCGAGGCCGAAAAATATGTTATTTACAGCCGCATAACTCACAAAATGCTTAACCGTGGCGAAAATTCCACCACGAAGGGATATGGCGAAATGGTCAGCGTTGTTTGAAGGTTTCACCCGAACTGGCGAGAGATAAAATCCTCTTCATCATACAAATATGTGCACTTCATGCACAATAACCATCAACTGCAGTACCTTTTTAACTTATTATTATGTGCTCACAATTATACTGCAGAAATCCACTGAAATGTGTGATGTGTTCACGCATGCCATTCGCGGAAAATATCTCTTAAATTCCTCTCCGTCGCTCCGTTCGCAACTATTATACGGTAATTTGGATTTTACAACTTAACTTTCCGAGCAGAGCGCTTTGGCAGGGCTCTCGAGTGCCCTATGATGCGCCCTTTGCCGTGGAACACAACATTGCAGCCCGCTGAACGTCCTTTCCAATCACGCGAAGAAGTTGGATAATGAGGAATTCGGCTTGCCCTTTGGCTCCAGATGCTCAGGCGAACGGTAGCATCGGAAATGGTGAAAAACAAAGAGATCAGCTTGCTGCCCATCCACCTAAAGGCTATGCAAATTAGGGAGTTCCTTCGTTTGCATACCGCACGTTCCTCCGCCAACAACAGGTGGCCACACACTTCAGTCCTGCCGAAATGCACGCTCTCGTGATTTCCTCCTAAAACAATGCCCAGAAACCGCGGAGGAAATTCGTATCACTCTCGAATAAACCACATCTCGTAGGACTTCAACTAAAGACCTTTTTCTCGTCGGAATCGCGCAGCACTTTTTTCGCGCGCTCGCAGTGCACATACGAAATGAATCGCGCGATGCATGTATTGGGATTCTTAAATGGCTAAAATGCATATCGTGTGGTATCAAAAATATGCAAGTTGTGCCGCATGATTGCGCCGCCGCCACCAACGGACAGGTTTTGAATTATGGCATTCGTTTACTTCTTGTTTCAGTTCAACTCGGTCGGCACACGCTCGCGGGCACACGTCATTTCCCACGGATCCAAACATAATCAGCCAGAAAAGCGCACACCCGCACACCCAGTATGAAAAGTGCCCGAGCGGCCAGGCGCGAATCCGGCGCGGCGCGGCCTCTGCGCTGCCCCAGCGCGGCCCCCGCAGTCCCACCCTGGCCGATGTGTAGGGACGAACACGTCGTATTTATAACCTATGACCTAAACCATAAGCAACGAATAGCATCGAATGCAGCGCCTCGAGCGATACTGGATATTGCAGAGACGATACTCGGATGGCGAAACGCATCCAGAACAGCCATTCTGCGGCTGATCTCTTGGCGCGTAAAGTGAACTCTTGCCTCGGCGAAACTTTCTCAATTGGCCAATTTCTCTGCTTCGTCACATTCGCGGGCTGCGGAAGATGCGCCATCCAGGGATCAATGCTTGTGCATAACCTTTCTTATTATTTGTCTTCTGCGATGCCACCAGAGAGTGGAAAAAATGGGAAGGAACCGAGAAAGAGGTAAACGGTGAAATTGCCATTGGCCCGTGGAAATGCAGATGTAGGGGAGAGTGGGGCTCTCTCTCATAACGCAAACCCTTGCTCAGGATTAGCGCCAAATAATTACCCTCAATCTCTTTGTATATTAATTGAAGACAACTGAAATACAAAGGGGAAAATATTCTAGTCAATATCGATTTTAAGATTAAAAAAAAATACTCAAAAGTGCAATTTTAGCGGAAGTAAATCATAAAACATTGAATGAAAACGTAAATATTGAAGTTTTCAGCTAATTTTCGGTTGATTTTCAAAGTATTAGAACTAAAATTTGGTTGAATATAACTGATTTGAAGAATCCTGAGTAGTTTAAATGATTTTTCATGGAAATTGTGGAAATTTCAGGAAGTGATGCACAGATTTTAGCCATATTATCAATCCTCTTGATGGTTTTTCTTTCGAATTTTGACCAATTGCTCGATGCGTCCGTAATTCAAGGCGTTCGGATGCTAGAAACGTTTTCCTCTGAATATGATTTTTACGATGTGTGATATTTTTTTCAGGACCGCTGGAAAAAGAAGTTATAAAGTGATTAAGAGAACAGATGCCAGGGTGGCGAGTATTCCTCAAGTTCTGTAATAATTTTATGATTTTGTTGGCGCTACCAGAAGGTCTCAGTAATTGGATCTAATGATCATTAGTTGAGGGCAACAGATGAGCAATATAATTCACGTGGAATTAATACAGATGCCCCAGAGTGTTTGTAAATAAATGATATTGTAGCGCTAATTGGACAAATAATGGATTACATGGAGAGCAATTGCGGAAGGCACACAATGGCCTGAGCTCTTTGTGACTCTCCCCGGATAAGACGGTGAAGAAGGTGAATGATGATATCGATTGATAAGGCGCGCATTTCGAAGAACGACCGCCTAATAAAGCAATCAAATATTGACGCATGTACCGCAGCAACGTTTTTGTTGCTCGCTCTCGTGGCCACACACAAAAGGCGATGGGCAATTTCCAAGAATGGGAAAAGATGTTTCCCCTTATCAAAATGCTAATAAATGTATTTTATTGTAAATTCCTGGGCTCAGCAGAGGCGGCGGAGAGGAATAGGAAATACTATCGCACTTCACGCCTCTCTATCCACAATTCCAGTAACAGCAAATACCAGGAAAAAAGATACAAACATCAAATACGGAGATGCTAAATCACGATGAAAAGGATTTTATATGCGATGCCTTTGGCTCGTCACAACAAAAGGGACAATCATCGTGTCTTGAGTTCTGGGAATGCTGCCGTTTCAGCACATCTGCAGCTCGCCTTTTGACCATTTTCGAGACGCACTGATTTCTTTATGATTTCACCCATAATCCGTCCTCAATAATGTATCGCATATAAAAGTGGGTATAAATGGAGCATTTCTAGGTGCAATCAGGCGGAGGAAATGGTGAATAAAATGAGTGTGTCTTCAGTGGAAGAGGTCTTCGGACCCCTGTGTTTAAGGCGGAGATTGATATTCTCCGGGCTTTTGAGGATCGCCACTCGATCTATGGCGTTGCTATATAATTAACAAAAATGCAGTTAATATTGGAATCACAATGTTGTGCTGCCTCCGAACCGTTCAGCCGTCCAAATGGTCAACATGAGGGCTACTGATGAAAATTTTCTCTCCACTCAATTCCAATTTTCAACTCATTTTTTATTCATCAATGCGCCGAGGCAAAAACAGGGCTGATCTGGGGCTAGATAGTGAGGAAGATCACTCGGAAATAATAACACAGTTGCACCTTCTGACCTCACTCTCTCCTCGGCCCGGCCGTGGGATCATCTCATGTCTATTTTTCATAGAGTACCGCCTAATTGGGGGTTACTTTGGCAGCTTGTGCCAAAAACGGAGGCAAGTCGCCCGGACAATGTAGAGGAGCAGACACATTTTATCTGCACTGCACCGGGGGAGTATCTCGGGCCTCCGCGCCTCTCGTTGTCTCTGTGAAGGCGCCGGCGGGCTTATTATGATTATTTTTTCCTCAACATCTCCCCCCCTGGCATTCGACATAAATAATTGGTGAGATGTTGGCCGAAAGGGCGTCCTGACCCCGCCCAGGGTGCCTCGGGAAGAGAGATCATACTTTGGGACGTTTAACTAATCATTTTTTCTCCGGTATCACCGAGTAGCGCACTTCTCTGGCCGCAGCTCCCGCCGACACCCGTTCATTAGCCCATCGAAGAAATTATACACACCGCAGAGCCCGACGGAGATCAGGAAGATCTCTGGACATCCTCCCCTGCATCCTTGGCCGGTGCATTCTCACCGCCACACTGAAGAGGGGCCGAGGAATGAATAATTAACGTAAAACGTTCGCGGAATTTTGATAAAATTCTCTACGGGAAAATCTTCCCATCGATCCGCGAGATATCAATCAAAATAATTGTTGTGGTTTTGGCAGTGCCCTAATGGATGATAACTTCTGCAGATTCTGCGCACAGATTTGTTTGATGGGAAGAATTCAATCCATATATCATCGTTGATTGCATCTGTTGCTCAATCAGAGACAATTATCGTTAAGATGCCTGAACAACCCCAAAACCAGAGCGCGCGCATTCACTGCACGAACATTGCAATCTCGCGCCAATTTTCTCTATGACGAGCAGTTATGCAAGGCATTCACACAACGTCGTGTTAGCGGAAAAGCGGAGCTTTTGCAGTGGAAAATTTTAAATTTCCGTTCCATGTATAGAGATTCCACCCCGCAAATTCTGGTCCAGCGTTATCGAGCACACGGCCAAGGGGGAAATAATACAGTCAGAAGAGGTGTACAGCTCAGTGGAAGTGTTGGGAAGTTGAAATGTTCAAAAATTTACAATATTTCTTTTCTTAGTCTTTCTTTTGCTGACAAATTGTCTTGATTCTTTGGATTCCTTTTGATTCTTACTCAGAAATAATCATATTAATCATTTTCTAGGTTATGTAACGAATCAAGGACAGATTTAGTGAATAATTCGCATTTTAACACATAAAATCTTATGCTCAAGTAGGGGAAATCGCAAGTAATGGGCAAGATTTAGCATTTGAATGCAATAAACATTGTTATTCTACACATTTGACACCAAAAAATATTACTAATTGTGCTACGATCAAACATAACCTCAAAAATACTTATTTGGGTTTAGAAAATATTGATTTTTAAAACTTTCTGGACGATTTTGACATTGAAATAGCAATTTTGAGTTCATTGACAAATTATAACAAATGTTTTGTGATGAAGAAAACTTTTAAACAGTGACTTTAAATATATTTTAGAGCTATTTTGAGGTTATGGTTGGAAAATATGTCAAAAAATCATTTTTCCCGGGATTCTGGCAAAAATATCGGATGGAAACTTAAGAGATTCACTGCAATTTGTGAATCAATGTGGAAACAATCTAAGAATTTGTAGTACTGGAAGTGTTAGAAAGTGGTGTACAGATTGAAGGCATAATGTCCTCCCCTTGCACGCGGCGATACCCTCCTTTTCCCACCCATCAAAGGGCCTGGGAATGTTTTAATGATTCCCCAATACCTGAGAAATGGGAACAGGGCAGACATTGTCCAATTCGCGTGATTGATAGTGGAGTGTGATTTGGAGGGATTTGGCGTTGGACGCACAGGAAATTAATCTCAATTTGCGAATTAAAGGCGGATTGACAAGATAATGCCCTTCCACAGTCAATTCTTCTGTGGCAATTTTAGCCAAATAGTCACGTTGCAGTGATGCTGTGACCATTGATTGACGTTTTCGCCTCGGACACTTTCCGGGATTGCCAATTATTTCTGCAAGTCGCTCTTTTTGCCATCTCCGGTCGCATCTCTGCAATTTTCTCCGTCTGGCTGGCGAGAGATTAGAGATTTTTGGGCGCTGAGGAGTGTGTGACTTGAGGACAAAGACTTGGGCTATCTCCGGGCATTCTGCCGATCTACATCTTTGATTGGTTAATTGTGCGTGAGTCTCGAGGTGCTTACTCAGCACTTCTCGACTCCCCCTCGATGGCAGGTGCCTGATGAGATGTGATGAGTTGATGGGCGCGATAACGCCCCGTTGGACCAATATCAGTACATCTCTGGCCCTCTCTGAGTGGAAGCCTTCTGCAGAGCCGCACTAATTAAAAGTACAACTCCCGCTGCGAAAGCTCGCGCCGAAGCTCTGCGTTCTAAGCCACAGATGTCGCCACGGGGCGCGCCCAAGAACGGTTTCGCGGGGTTTTGTGTGTGCCATGTGGAGCCACTCCACTGAAGTGCACGCGATAAGGTGGATAAATACTGCACTTCCGTCCTCGGGGCTCATCCAGCCAGCGATCAATAGCGCTGACAAAGAGAATCCCGAGACTCGCCTTGTGAGGCTCTCTGAAGTGTCACACCGCGTGCAGAAATTGTGTGGCATTTATTGGCAATATTGGGTCATTGAGTGGCGATAAAGACGTTGCGATATCAAGAACTGGAAAGGGGCAAACATCAAAGGAATCTGATAGAGTGGAGCGACTTTTACAGTAGTCCATCGTGCGATAAGGCACAAGTACCCGATCGATATCCCTCAATTACTTACAATTCGCTAGCAGGGCCAATTGACTCTTCTGCTGCGTTATTAATAGGAAATTACGCGACAAAATGCCATTGTGTCGAGTTGCGGGATTACATCGAGGGATTACGGACATAAATCACAACGTCGAGTAGCAATGAAGACACATCCGGACGTGAATTGGTGTCAAACTACTGAGGAAAGTGCAAGGGAATTACATGAGCCAATTAACCCTCGTCAGTGTTTCACTAAACTGCCAAAATATTTTCAGCAACTCATTAGAAGATAAGATACGACAGCTGCAATGATTCATTCCATAGAACACACGTAAAATTTACTAGAATTGTGAATCACGGATCTTTTCGAGGATTTGTTAGCAAATAACATCAATTCAACTAATTTTCAACTTACCTTGAGTGTTTGATGAAAATTTTCCGTGGAACTGGCGAGAGTTAAAAGCCATACACTATAATATTGACATCAATATGATAACTGACGGTTTTATTTAATTCATCTACAGCAACAATTATAGTTATATACACTAAAGTATAATTACATCCATTAAATTAGCTAACGAGTACATGAGATCAGGAAAAAATACTCTTTGCCATCGTGTCTTTGTCTTCAGTGGTTCAGTCTAGGGGCAAATCATTGGCAATTAGGGATTCTTTGGTTTCTCAGGACGCCTATCTCTTCATGATGTCCTCAATGCTGAAGCCGAGGGACTTCTTCGGCGCCTCAGACTTCACCTCTGTCTTCTGCGAGAGGTCCAGAATGGGCGCCGATACGGGCATCAGAGGCCTGGACATGGTGTGGCTCTGCATGTGCGTCTTGAGATTGGCCCTTTGGTTGAAGCTCTTGCTGCAGATGGGGCACTTGTGCGGCGACTCCTCCAGGTGCGTGATCTTGTGCACGGCCAGCGTGCGTGACTGGCAGAAGCCCTTGCCGCAGTCGCTGCACTTGAAGGGCTTCTCCTTGGAGTGGATGTACCGGTGGTCGCGCAGGTGGTCCTGCCTGCGGAACGCCTTGCCGCACTGGTCGCAGGAGTAGGGCCGCTCGTCCGTGTGCGTCCGCACGTGGATCAGCAGATTGTAGGACTTGGTGAACTCGCGCTTGCAGAACTCGCAGATGTGCTGCTTCTTGGGCCGCGTGCCCGCCGCCCCGGCCACCTTCATGGGGCCCAGGCCCCCGGGCCGACCTGTCGCGTGCAGGCGCTGCATGTCGGCCACGGTGTAGGCAGGCCGGTGGAAGTGGTGGTGCTGCTGGTACAGGGCGGCATTGCGAATCCACTGGTTCATGAAGACGGCGTGATGGGCTGGGTTGGGGTGGAGCGGGGCCGAGGGGTAGGCCAGGGTGGGCGGGTAGGGCGGCTGCTGGTGGGCAGCCGCAGCCGCGGCCTGCATGTGCGCCTGCGCCAGCCACAGTTTGTGCTGCTGCTGCTCCTGCAGGCTGCTGGGGACTTGTTGATTGTACAGGGCATGCGGGGGCGGACTCTGGTAGCTGGGAGCGAGGGCGTGATGAGCTGGGAGCTGGTATGGCCGCGTCACTCTCGGCTGCAATCTCTGGCAATCGTAGTCGGGTCGCTCGCACTTGGCAGGAACCAGGACTGGCGCTGGCGGCGGCGGTGGCGGCGGAGGGACCTCCTCTGTGGGGGTGTGTGGTGGGGTCAGCATCGGGGAGACGCTCGACACGCGCTCCTCTTTTACAGACTCAGCCGAATCCGCAGGGAAGTCTGAACAAAAACCGAGGCTTTAGTACTCCGACCTCTAAATAACCGCCCAACAACCCCTCCATAACTGTCTTCTTAAATCTCTTCAATTACCTGGATCTCGAGTCTGCAACTCCTCTAAACTGATTTCGCTGCACGATGACGCTGCCGAGATGGACATGGCGCGGTATCCAAAGAATTGCGAGTCTCACTGGACGAATTTCACTTCTCAAACACTGACTTTCTTGCTCTCTTCTTGTTTATCTCAACGGCCTTTTACTCTTGCCGAAACTCTTTTTTTTTCCTTGCATACAACAAAAAACACTGCCCGAATCTCACTTGTGTTCTCCTCCTCAAACTGTCCGGATCATTTTTCTTCCATCTCTCAATATAAATCGCTGAAAAAGTGCGGAGAAAAGACACACGCAGAAGAGTGGAAGGAAGGAAAGTGCGCAAAGTGGAGAGCCCGAGCAAACGCGCTCCTCTAACGGCTAATTGTCGAGACAAACTGACTTGCTACTATCACACCCGACTACTTCCAGGGAAGTAACTTCTGTGAGTTGTGAAAAGCCGTGCGACTGAGTGGGGAGAACTCACCGCCTACCGACTAACCCAGCTTATACTAGGATTGGACGGTCTGTCGATGTGAACTCTGGCATTATGTAATTATCTCTATGGTGATAGCGCAGCAGCAGGCAGAAGGCCCCTCGCCAGAAGGGCCCGTGGGAGCGACAGGGACGCCCTGCGCTCTTTCACACCCATTGCGACCGCCACGGCAGCTCGGCTGCTGCTCCGTCGCAGTGCCGAGCCTGAGCGGGAAAGAGAGGCCACGCTCGCATTCCCGCTCCGGCTGAAGGTGAGTCCTTTATGACGGGTGAGGCAGCTCGAGGACGAATTCCAAGGAGAGATTCGTCACTGCAGGCAAGCATTTGGACGGCAAGAGCGGGGCTCAGCGCTCAAATTGATTGTATTCTCGCCTCATCATTTCATTGTTGGTATTTTGGGAAGTTTTTGTTATTTATTTTGACGATAAATATAAGGGAAAGAAGAGAGAAGAATAAAAGGCTCTCAAGAGTGGCTCGGCAATGTGATTTTATAATACAGCCAGGTATTTATTTGACAAGGAACTCGTGTAAATTATAATACAAAAAGAGCAAATGCACACGGAAAGTGTGAATTAGTAATTAAATGACGAGATAATCAACACACGCACGGTGATTAGGACCCTTAAAATTTGCAATTATTCCTTTTAATTAATGATTTCTTTATTAATTCATAAATACCTCTAGTTGTGTTAGAATATTTCGATGGATTTTATTGAATTTTCTCACAAAATTCTCAATATTCATTCATGTTAAATAATGGTTCTATGAAATTAAGTTTTAAGACCAAAAAATGAAATTTTAAACATTGTATTTTTGATTTTCCGTTCTGAAATAGAAAGCAATAATAATGCAGTTCAACTGTAATCAGAATTGCTGGCAGAGAAATTGATTTATAGGCTTCGAACTGGAGGCAATCGATAGTGACTCCAATTGGCATCTCTGGGCAGAGCGTCTTAGTGGGAGCCTTCCACTGGATGATCAATAAGACATCCACGCCAGAGAGGATCATCTATTTGGCTGGGATTGGCAAGAAGCGCTGAGGCAGGTGTGATTTGGGCTCCCTTTTATTTACCATCCTCACCTTTTCACCTCCATCTTATCTGGCCAACACTTGCGCCTCTGCAGGCTGCATTCAGCTATTTAATTGTTGCAATATATCTCTGTGTGGCTGTCTCGGGAACACACCTCACCGCCCCACGGGGGAGTTTTGCAATTGACTCTAATGCCACAAAATCTGCGGGTGCCCACGAAATCCCGAATGGCACAGTAGGAGATTCTGCACACCGGTCAGAAGTAAATCAACATGAGGCTACTGGACGTTTGTAATTTCCCCGCATTCACTTGGCCGATGGCTCAAGGCACCTCTTGTTGGCCTGGGTGGAAAGTTTGGGCCCCGTGGGCTTCAGCATTGACGCGGCGCGCTCAGATTTTGTCGCAATCGATTTTTTGAGGGAGTGAATTCCCGCGCGCGGGCTCCGAAAAAGAAGTGTACAAGCACACGATTTCCCTCCCCCAGGAGAAGATCACAAGGCGCCGCCACTTGTTTGCCATGTCATGTTCCAACGGCAACAACAGCCGCACAGATAATTTTATTATTGTTTCTGTCATATTCTGTCGCGGCAATTATTATATTTGATGGTGGCTGGGTGTGGTGACCCATTCTTGATTGATGTGCGGGCGATCGCGCCACGACACTTTTTACCATCTAACCACCTTCCAGTGACACCTCTTTCTCATCAACACCCAACACAATGGGCGACCGTGAAAGGTCTCTCCTTTAGACACGACCGTATCGCGCCCAAAATCTCCGCGAGGGCCCAATTGCGGAGACAAGAGATTGTATCGCGGGTCTTTGAATGGGATTTGCCCATATTGGCGACACGAAGATATTTCATTTCGACATCAAATCGGAGAGATTGCTGGCTGGTGAATAATTTTGCCATTTTTGATCATTTCACGCAAATGTCACCGCAACTCGCGTTGGTCTGATGAACTTGGGCGATATTCGATAGATTTAGCGCGTTGCGAGATCGAGTCACACTTTTGCAACAGCTTCCCAACAAGTCCCAGAGACCCACGAAATCAGAACCCAATTGTGGGGAATTCTCCCAAGAAGATTCAAATCAAGGGGTAGATATTATGGTCAGAAGCAGTGTGCAGTTCAGTCGAAGTATTTGGAAGGGCTTTAATATTTTCAATGTGGTTCATTCAAAAGTTACAGCTAAATAACCAAAAAATCATTCTGTTGAAGAATGCATTCTTTCAATAATAAACTCATGTTAATTACGTAGAGATTTATCATAACCTCTAAAATACTGTTTCAGAATTCAAAGTTCTCTATTTTAAGATCTGTTTGATTGATATTCTACTCTAAAATAGAGAAGATTCAGCTCATTGTTGATTTATAACAGAATTATATTTCCCAGTGCTTCCTTTCAAAGCATATGAATAAGATTCTTTCAAGAATTCTTTTAGATATTTCAAGGTAATTTTAAGGTTATGATTCAAAGTGTATCCAAAAGAACGATTAAAAATTGAATCACATTCAAATATCCACTGGAAACTTCCAATATTTCTAAAATACTGCTTCCCTGTTAGTTTTCAGGGTCATAGAAGTAAGAATAGCGTCCTTTTAGGTCAAGGACTTCTAAATTTGAGGTTATGGCACTTTAGGTGATTGGAAAAATCTATAAAGTTCCGAAAAAGGTGGAGAAATGAAGGAAAATGCATATTTTAAGCGCTGCTAGAATTCTGGAAGTGACAGGAAGTGTTGTACACAGTTTAGCCGTATTATCTCCCCCTTGATTGAAACAAATGCGAAAGCATTTTAATCTGTAATCCAATATCTCATTGAGAGTGTGTGCACGTGATTTTTGGTACATACGTGAAGACGATTCGCCCCTGCCAATAAATCAAATAGCTCAGCTCGGCTCAGGTGACAAAAGGCGAAGACTTTCGATGAATCCATTTGAGTCGAGAATAAATAATCAAATATCGATTTCCGCCAATTAAATATGATTGATTCGATGTCAGAGCGAGTGACTCTTCCATGTGGTGTGACAGGCCGCGTGAAAAGTGGAGCGATAGCGAAGACATACCAATACACAACATTATCATCCGCGGAGCACTCGCTACCGAAGAAGCCAATCAATACTATCGATAACAGGCCTTTTTATTTCCAGCCGATGCCATCGCGACAAGCATTCCTGCTTCAATCACTCACACACACTGGACCCTCGTGATTGTTTGGACAGATGGACGTTTTTTGGGCGGATGACAGGGATGGTGGCCACATGTGGGCAGCCAGGAGAGCTGGACTTAAGGTGGAAAATTCCCGGGAACACTTGCATATGTCGAACGGGGATTAGGGTGAATTCCTCCCCTTTCCACTTGCCAGAAATTAAATTGTTGACTATTCCAAAGTGTGTTCTCAGTTCCGTCTTTGCCACCTCTCTTTGCCTCCTTCCTCACGGTTTCCCTTGACACTTTCGTCAACATTTGCACACTGTTTGAGTGAGTTATTGTGTACAAGTTGATATGACAAATAATTTTGACACTCATAATAATCATATATGACTACTTTATACCTTCTGATAAGCTTTTGTCGGCAATTGGGTGGCATGAAGTGCCCCGTGGAAGTCTTTCATCTTCCGCCGCCCTGCACGCTATCGCCGCACATATTTCCAACTTTGCCATTGATATCAATCACACAGTCTTCCCATATTTACACTTCTTGTCCCGCGTGCAGCACTAAATTACATTGCGGCTCTTTGTCCCTTCGCGCAGGGGTGAGTCTTTTCGCAATAAATCCTTCATTTTCCGCCCGGCTTTTCCTCACCGCGTCCAAGAATCATGTCGTCAATTGGCAGATTGACTTCCTCGCTTTTGAGGCTGAAAAGCGCGATGAGATTGTAATCAGTGTGCAAAAGGTGTGCTCGAATTCCTTTTCTCCTAGTTCATTGTTGATGGGAATGTGTAATGGTACAATTGCGGTTTTTATTGCCAATATACCACACCTTATCTAATCGCTTTACCGAAGTTTCGCCTTGCGACAGAAAAATGGGGGTATGTTTCGAGTACTGAAACAGCCGCCGTATTGGATGGAATGCGCTGCCCATCTTCCCATAGACAATCACAATTACTACAGCAGGACTTTGAGAGTCAAAGTCGAGAGAAATGCGATTGACAGAGACTGAATTTGGAAGGTGAAGTTTATGCTCTGCAACGGACGCTCCTTATTTAACAAATCTCTGTTTATTCTTGCTGGAAGAAAACATCCAACCATCATATTTTTACGTGTTGCTCTGAAGAGCAGGAAATGCTTTGCAAATATTGAGGAACATTTTGAGAATTTTTCTCTTCAAATAACAGTAAAAAGTGCTGGAAGAATTCCTCACCCTTTCGCTTAATGAGACCCATTTCAATATATATATTACCTTTCCGACTAACTACTCAAGGACTTCCTCAACCCGTTTTTGCCTCAAATGCAATCCTTTTACTTTTAACAACACTCTCCGACTGTTGAGCGGAACCTTTTATGCCTTGTTTATTGCCTCCGTGATTGATATGGGCTGAAAAGTGGGTTGGAAAAAGAGGGTGGACTTAAACATGTTCGCTATAATTGCATTTTATTGACACGAAAATTGATATTTTATCTCATGAATCTCTGTGTCTCAAGATTGCTCACATCTGCTCCCTTCTGGGATGACTTGAGAGCATAGTTTGCATGCCATATCACCCTTTTTCTGCCTAACAGTAAAAGTGACATAAAGTCATTTGACCCTCCGTTACCCTTTTGCATGCAACTGTGTCACCTTCATGGCTTCACGAGAGCCAACAAATGAGACTCCATGAGGAGTTCCACCTTGAAACTGTACTTTGCCAATTTTGCTCTCATTTTCCAGGGAACTTCCTCACCCCTTCATTACAGTAGGCTTATGGCTGATGTTTGCAAACTAATCACGGCTTGAGCAGCGGGGGTGCAATAATTGTAAAATTATCCCATATCAGGAGAAGTGACCTGATTTCGGCCCTTCCGATGACCCTTTGGAGTGTCTTGACCCTTCGTCTGAGTGACCAGTAGCTCTGAAAGAGTCTTTTCTGTCCAGGATTTGCCATTCTCACGATTGAGTCAAATGGCGGCAATAAATTACTGGGAAATGTATCCCAAAACATCCCTCAGCTTCTGATGAGAGACTTGGCAATAATTTATTGCAATGCAGAGGTTTTGGACACTTTTTTGCCAGCATCTCCGTCTCCTCTTTCACATGGTCGTTTTGCCACCCAGAAAGACACTTTTTCCATGTTTGTGTGAGAAGTTGTCGGACATTTTTGTCAACCTGCCAAATGTGGCACCCACTTTTGGTCGCTCTCTCGGGCACACAACATGCCTCCATCATCGCCCCGGGGAAATGTGAAACGCGATCTTCGCCAGAGCGACGATAATGGGAGTCTTTGGGAAAGGGTGCTAAAATCTTGAGCGATTTTCCCAAAAAGTCACTCTCAAGAGTCCTCTCGGGACGATCTCAATGTTCTCAATTGCACGCTGTGGCACAAAGGGAGACAAGAGATCCTTAAGTGATGCGATAAGGAGGCGCATTCGTCTTTGTGAATTATTGTACAGAACTGACAAACTCCAGAGATAAAGTGACACCGTTCGAGTCACTGAAGTGGCTACTTCTTACCCTCTTTTTTTCTGGAATCCGAAGCCACTCCAGTAAACTTTCTCACAATAAACCACCAGACAGACTCTCGATTTTCCTGACATGATTACGAGACTCCTAAATTACCAGCGCTGCTCGGCATATTTTCCATTTCAGATAAATAAACGATTAATAATTAATATGCTCAAGTCACTCTCTGCGCATTTCCCACAGATTCTCCCCCATTTGGTGCTGCACAAGCAAATTGCTCATGGCTAATCTTTATGTAGAAATTTCCCAATACTCATAACTTCACGAGAAATTGCCCATGAAAGTGTTGACAAGAGTCTGGGTGGAATGTTTTCAGAAAATACCATCTAATTGGAGTATTTAGAGCAGAAAAGCAGAGGTCAGTTGCACTCTCTTCTCCCCGAGATAGTTAATTTATGATGACACCCAACATGATTTTCTGAGACGAGAAACCTGAGACAGTCGATTTCACTTTGCAATCTCTGGCAGAGAAAGGGAACTCCTTGGCGCATGATACAGATATCTCGCCAGTCGAGTGTCAAAATTCATCCCGAGAATAGAGGCTGAAGCGATGAAAGAAGTTTGGAATTCGTCGAGACCCTCGACCGATAATTGATTGGAGGAGCTTTTCTCTCTCTCTCGTCAATCTGGGTGTGCAGCTCAACAAAGCCCGTGAGTATTTTGTAATATTCAATTGAATGTTGCCATGATTTATAACCTTCCACGAAATATTTGACCCGAGGAACGGTTTTTCTGTGTCGCTCAGTGTCTGAGGAACAAACCTTTCTTCTCCAATTGTTGCAATCGACACGTCTCTTTTATATATCACACTTTATTGTGTTAGAATTTGTCGCTATCGTGAGTAATTTTTCTGTTTCTCAGCTTCAGCTGATCTCGCTGAGTTTCAGAGCTGAGCATTGCTTTTTTGACTGAACAAATCGAAAATTAGTTTAGGACACCTAAGAAATTTAGGCCAAATTTCCTTTTGTGCTAAAAATTCGGAGACACTCGCCAGAAGTTAAAAAATTACCAGAATTTATCGATCTTCTAGTTCGAGGCCGAGATATCGAAAAATGCAGAGAGACATTCATATATGAACAGCAAAAATTAAATTAGAACACTCTATTTTGCTCTAAACCCATGTTTAACCCTAATATTTACTGGAATAATCACATTAAGTCACAAATTTGGAATGTCTAGAAGACATTTACATCATAACGCGCCTTGATTTGGACTTGTCAACTTGCTTTTGGTGTGATGGATCCGTTTCGACCGCGTAACCGTGGCTCAAATCCTGTTCACAGGCTTTTTATGAAGTGTAGAATAGGGATCTAAGGTGATAGTTCAAGAACAATTATGCAGTTATGAAAATGAAAGCAATTTTCTCTTTATAAAGTGTGATTTTTCGTCAATTTCCTATTATTATGTCCAGAAAATCAGTAATTTAATGTTGAAACATGGAAAGAAAATGATTCTTTCACTTTCATTATGTTCCATAATGTGGTATATTATGCCTATTCATGTCAAAAAAAAATCCCGATTGAACACACAAAAATACGCCGAGAATCTAAAATCCACTAAACTAATGACCAATCAATGAATTAGTGAAGGCTTTGCTTCTATGCGTGTCTAATATACAATTTTATCTACTAGAGAACTCCTCAGTTATCTTGGTTCCTGCTTTGTTTGATAATATTTTGATTTCAATCATCACAAAGACAAATTATATTGGCAAGACTGGATGGAATTGTTATTGCCATCCTTGGCTGAATGGCACAAAATTTTCCGCCTCTGAGCACCTTGTCAATTCTTATGCATTTGCTGGACGACACGCGCAATTTTTCCCCGAAAATGCATACATTATTCAGTGACTTTGGAGGACACAGCAGTGAAATAATGTCGTCCGTTAGTTGACAATAATCGTCAATTATGGGGCACACGAAGGGCGACTCTGGCAGAGTTCACTGCTTGCGAGGTCGTGTGACTTGAGTTGTAAAGTCCAGAGGAAGAACGGAACTCGAGCTCGTGGAGTTTCGCCGAAAAATTACCCATAAATCCATAAAGGACTTCATGGGAATCAATGATGGGACAAGAGACGGTCTCGCTGGGGAGTCAGGCTTTGATGTGCGTCTCCTTGCTTGGCTCCGCGTGTTGACGAACAAATGGGTTTCATGGGCATTTTCCGGCCAATTTGGAATTTCACGCGTGATATTAAATGACCAGAGAGAGGGACAATATTGAGGACATTTCCTCGGTACAGCCTTGGCGAGACTTTATGGTCGGTAAACTGCGTCCCTCGCAGTCGCGTGGACAGTTCTTTAACGGCCCCCCCATAAAAGAGTCTCCCGTTTGTCTGACTTCCCAGCGGTTGGGGAGATGTCGAGATGCGCCATTATTTCCCGCCTCACCCCAGAATCCGTTGCCAGGCAACGCATATTTATTCTAGCTCCCCAAACGGCTCTTTTTCACCCTCCATCGCTCCCTGGAAATCAATACTGAGGCACCGATCGGGGCACTCTGTTCGAGAGCGGAGAAAGGGAGTTTTACGGAGGATCGCACTTTTTGGAGAAATTACTTTATGAGGGGGTGGATAAAAGGCCCAGCTTCTAGTCGTGCGCCCGAGCCGACAAAGCGGCCGGGATGGCAAATAGCTAATAAGACAACTGAAGACACGAAACTGTACCTTTTGGATTGCTTTATTGCATGTGTTCGCAGGTCAGACGGGAATTCTTCAGCAATTTGCAACTCAATAATATCACTTTTTACGACGGATGCACCCTGAAAGCGGCCTCCGATATTTTTGGCAAAAATCACCATGGCAGAAAGATTCCTCGGAAAAGTATGACTTTGAAAAGTCTGCCCGAGGCGACAAAAAGCAATTCACCGGTACAGAATCCAATTACGTCACTTCAAAGGATACTATCTCGAGTCCTTTGACGCTTGTTGAGCATAAAAATTCCTCAGTGAGAGAATTAATGGGAGTGAAATTCATTAATCGCGTTTCGTGGAGCCATAAAAGATGTACTTTCGCGTGTAAGAACATTCTGTTCTACACATGTAAAGTCCGCGAAGAGGGAAAAAATCATCACGCGAATTATTGCGCCTCTCTTGTGCACTTGACGCCTAACAAGCCCTTTTCGATGGCCTGGCAGATTTATGGTTAATCGCGCGATGGCCCAGAAATTCCTCGTGGAGCTTTTCGGAAAGCTTCAATTTGCATTTGGGCGGCATTAAATTAAACTGTCAAATTGCAATTCACCCCCAACAAGTGCACATGTTCAGATAATCTCTCGTGAACAGTCGCGTCGTTCTGGGTGGGAAATGCAAGTAATTATGGTTATCAGTGGTGGCAAGAGGCCACTCGAGTTGGGAGTCAAGTGGGGAACATATTAGAATTCTCCCGTGCAAATTAACTTGATAATTGCTGAGCACAATCGCATGATTCGACGAGTGACTCGGCGAGACGCGCAAGAGGCCATTTCAGGGGTCACACGAGATGCAGAGGAAGGCGAAATGCAATATTTGCAGTGTGTTTGCCAATCATTAAACTGATAAATGGGGAAACACAGGAAATTGAATTTGCTCTGACGAGCAGTAATCCAATTGATAGTGTGTGTGTGTGTGACGTTTTCCAGCCAAGCCCAAACTTTACGACGTGAACGTGTATGAAAACCAATTTCGAGGACTTTACCGTCCTCAATGGCCTGTTTACCTCCAGTCAATTGTTTAATCAGAATTACTGTTTGTTTAATTATCCGACACAAATAGCGCCCAATTTGCGCACTCGATGGGATGAAATCTATGATTTTATAGCCCCATTGCGTCACTCACCCTGGAATGCCCCAAAGTGACACCCACGCACGCCTCGGAGCCACTCACCCGCACCATCAACTGCTTCTTTAGCAGTTCCATTTGTCCAATAAATTTATGGCCATCCAGATGATTGTCCAAATCCCCACCATTGCGTCTGTGCCATATGGAAATTATAATCTTCACGGGCTTTCAAACAAATCCATTCGGTGAGAAACATGCAAAAGCTTTTTGCTGCCTGGCTGATGCCACTTAATCACGTTGATTCCGCCTGATTTACGGGCTTTATCCCCCCAAATTCATATCATCGCTTTCGTGCTTTTCTGCACTCGTGACATCGCCACCGCACGCAGTCTCGTTTCCGGTGAAAATTTGCAGGAAAATTTTATACACCTGCGCAAATCATAGTTAGCCTCGTTAGAATAATTAAAACATTCTGGAGTTGCTAAAAAAGAAAAATTTTATAAGAGGTGATTAGTGACAATATTAGGATGTTGGGGGAAAATTTCAAATTTGCCTTTCCCAAAATTCACTTGCTTAAATCTGCATCTAATTTTGCGACTCTTCCGTGGTTCCCAAATACTATTTTCATTCCTCAGGTGGATGCAATGATGCCATCTCTGCAAGTTGTGTGTAAATGATTTCAAGTGCTTTCTTTCCTCCTCAAATGGTTGGAGTATCGGATACTTTCTCGAAGCAGTTCAGCGTGGAATTCTCACTAGATGTCGTTTTAGTACACATATCTCTTGACTTGAAAGCTTTACACATGTTTCATGCTGCATATGCTCCATGCATATGTATTTCACACTCTTTGAGTGCTAAAAGCTTCGCAATGTTTGTGTGGATGGCGATGGAGGCGCCTGGTGGCGAGATACTCAAGGCGGGAATGAAAATTTTGTGCACACAAAAGGGGAAATCTCATCTGCGTGATGTTATTTAATATTTAAATTTGTCGGCGTCTTTGATGGACTGCGTTGAACATTTCTGTTTACTTGTGTGCGACATGAGTTTGTCTGGCTGAAGAGATTGATTGTGGTAGTTTAAATAAACAGACAATAAATATTGTCGTCGATATTTCGTGGTTTTTCACGGCATTGGCTGCGGGCTTCTTGGGAATTTTCTGGCCGGGCTGGCTGAAAAGAGGGGGAGTCCCTGCGTGGTGGGTGGAAAAGTGCGGCGCAACGTAAATTGTGTCCACCATTGAGCTCTTCACCATGTGTGACTTCCATGGAAACTGTTGTTGGGGGCAAACGACTCAAACTGGCCACTTATAGTCGTCTCTGCTGTACACCAAATAACTCTGCGCGCGGAACTGGTTTCCTCTCCTCCCAAAGAAAACACAACGAAGGAGAGGAAGAGGCAAGAAGCGAGAGAGATTCGTTGGGATCTGGGATGAACACAATAACAAAATACCAAACAAGAAAAAGGCTTTAGTGCAGCCCGAAATGTTCCTCATTTCTCTCTCGTGCCTCGCGATATCTTTTGCTCTCTTTTTCAGCTCAACATTGGCTCTTGTGCGACAGTGTCAGGGGAGTTCTTCGCGGACTCCCAATGCCAAGAGAAGTTCACCATTTCCACAAGAGATTCGATCATTTGTCTAAATCCAAACACTTTAGCTCATAGGCGATGCTGGCAAAAAACCAATCATAATTCCCTCCACGTGAGTACATCCCAAATACCCTCGGATTCCCACTCTAATCTCAGCACAGCCGCGTAGTGAGAAATGATTCACCCAGGATTGAAAGAGGCCTTTTTTTCATCTGGGGAACAGCGTGAAACTTGTAATTCGAAGTGTGGCCATTATTTTTCCACTGTTTTTTTCTCCTCCTCGAATGCGGGAGCTTTGTGGAATTGAATCGTGGGATATAGAACAGCGGGTGTAATTTGATTGGAGAGCCGATGTGCGGTTAATAATTTTCCCATTCCCAATAAAAACACAGATGTTTGCTTGAGGAATTAGCTGAGAAGACAATTAAAAATCTATTTCGATCACTTTCATCGGTGTCACGCGGTGAGCTTCTCAGGCCTCAACTTGGGGTCTTTAGCAGCGCCATTGAACACCTCCGGATCGGCAGGTGACTGTGGGGCTGGCTGTGTGCCAGATTTGTGCGGAATTTGGCAGGTCGACCACCCAATCTGACCTCAAAGAGACAAAACGACACGGACGCTTGTGCAGGAGAAATGCTCGTGAAGTCCTAAGACTAATGGATGGGCATAAATTTGTGAACTGGTTCAATTCTTTACAGCATTACAGTCTTGGGATGGAGATTCAATCAAAATCACACGCTGTGGCGGCAAAAAACTGTGATTAATGCTTCTCTGTACGCGCATTTCAAACCGCGATATCTTCGACTCTGTCTTTCAAGTTCTGTCACGATTACCAAAAGTTGAAATACCTCTGGCTAATGTAGTCCTCAATCAAAGTCAATTCTTGCCTATGACATTACACATCAAGACCCGCTCTTATACCATCCAGCCTCTTTCCCGCCACGGGCAACAGTGTAACATCACAGAGTGGCGCTCTCGAGATTGCGAGCCTGCGACCGTCCAGTGGCGTAGTTCTGAACCTGAAAGAACCCCAACTTCAACTTTGAAGAAATTGTCTTATGGATCGCACTTCAACGTGAGTGGAAGAGGGAAATTATACTCAGAAGTGGAAGCGAATAGAAAAAATTACATAATTCTTTTTAGTTTTGTATAATTATTTGGCAAGCATTTTTCATGTTTTACAATATTTACAATATACTAATATCTAGAGTGTTTACAATTTATCTGCGATGAGGCGTGTTCCAGAAGTATCGAATCTCCTTCCTGTACACTGGCTTGTAGATACACACGCCGTCGACGAACTCCGGAACGCAGTAGGACAGGAACATCGGGTGGCGGGCGTCGGGAAAGCCGGGCGGCAGCTTGTAGTCCAGGTCGGGATGGAAGATCCACTGCGGAGTCGGAACGCCGCAAGGGCTAGGAAGCAGAGGCAACAGATCGGGCTTCCTGGGCTTCTTCGCGGCCGGCGGTCCAGAACTCGATGCTTGACTTGGCGCTGAACTCGGTGTTGGACTGGGTGTTAAACTCGAAGAAGGACTCTGTGTTGAACTCGAAGAAGGCCTCGGTGTCTCACTCGGTGACGAATACTGTCGTTTGAGGTTCCGCTTCTCTCCAATGACTCCAAACATGTTGGCTGGGAGGAAGGAATCGTAAGGACCCGCGTCCGTGCCGTTGCTCTCAAACTCTGACCGAAAACAAGACATTTTTCTACTACTCAAGAGCTGTCGATGTGAACTAGTCTGAACTCGAAAGGTGATTGACGACAGATCCTTCGGCTCCTGCTTTTATATGCTCGATCCGACTACCTGCGCTGCGACTAATTACCCTAGCCGAACCCTTGTAATCCGTGTTTACCAGTATTTGAAAACGTCATTAAAACCTGTTTATTAACAACTACCTAATCATACCATTGGGATTATCCTTAACTTCTTGGCAAAATATTTCTTCCAATCTCAGAATGTCCGTTACATTTTGTATTCACGAGTCGCCCTGGGTTTATCGTTGCCAGAAAATCAAACCGAAGTTTTGGTATTTCTATAAACTTGAAAGTTTGAAGTCTTTCTATTTTCTTCATTCTTGCAAAGTCTAAGAACCCGAAATAGTGTTGACTTTCTGGAATTGGTTACAAATTTGTAGTTTCATTATTTCTTTACGGAATAGAAACCTCACCAATTACTCAAACTCACTCAAACTCTTGACATGAAATGTCCAGTCTTCGAGAAACAGGTTCGGATTCTTAGGTGAGAGATCGAAGTCCCTTTGACTTGGCTGAATCGGTGTCTGGCGGGGAGCTGAGCGCGAAGGATATGTGAGCGAGTGCGGAAATTAAGCAGTGAGAGATCGAAATCTGGCCTCAGAAGTCTCTGAGCAAAAAGTTGTTCTTTTTCTAGGTCCAATGGTTCGCGAAAATGTTAAATAAAGTTAGGAATATTACAATAATTTCTGCATTTTAGAATAAACTGGAGGAGTTCAGAAGTGACATTGAGATCACAAACCAAAGAAAAATTTAGATTTCAAAGTTAGCAAAATTACTTTATATTGTTGTCCTATAATCACAATATGAAATGGTGTATTTAAGGCCAGAAGTAAAGGTAAAATCAGAACGGCTCGTGAATGCAAAATGTATCGGACATTCTGAGATTGGAAGAAGTATTTTGCCAAGAAGTTAAGGATAATCCCAATGGTATGATTAGGTAGTTGTTAATAAACAGGTTTTAATGACGTTTTCAAATACTGGTAAATATGGATTACAAGGGTTCGGCTAGGATAATTAGTCGCAGCGCAGGTAGTCGGATCGAGCATATAAAAGCAGGAGTCGAAGGATCTGTCGTCAATCACCCTTCGAGTTCAGACTAGTTCACATCGACAGCTCTTGAGTAGTAGAAAAATGTCTTGTTTTCGGTCAGAGTTTGAGAGCAACGGCACGGACGCGGGTCCTTACGATTCCTTCCTCCCAGCCAACATGTTTGGAGTCATTGGAGAGAAGAGGAACCTCAAACGACAGTATTCGTCACCAAGTGAGACACCGAGGCCTTCTTCGAGTTCAACACAGAGTCCTTCTTCGAGTTTAACACCCAGTCCAACACCGAGTTCAGCGCCAAGTCAAGCATCGAGTTCTGGACCGCCGGCCGCGAAGAAGCCCAGGAAGCCCGATCTGTTGCCTCTGCTTCCTAGCCCTTGCGGCGTTCCGACTCCGCAGTGGATCTACCATCCCGACCTGGACTACAAGCTGCCGCCCGGTTTTCCCGACGCCCGCCACCCGATGTTCCTGTCCTACTGCGTTCCGGAGTTCGTCGACGGCGTGTGTATCTACAAGCCAGTGTACAGGAAGGAGATACGATACTTCTGGAACACGCCTCATCGCAGATAAATTGTAGACATTCTAGATATTAGTATATTGTAAATATTGTAAAACTTGAAAAATGCTTGCCAAATAATTATACAAATCTTGAAATGTACATAAGTTTTTTCCACTTTCTATCTTCACTACGCCTCTGGAATGATTATAATTATACTGACTCATACTTTGGGATGCTGGAAGGAGAAATAGCGAAAAAAATTAATTACAGCCTCTCAGAAATGCAAGAAAAATCTCGGGAATTCCCACGCACTGAATTCTGTGGCAGAGTAAAACTTTTATTGCTACATTTATTGGATTTTGATTTGCTAGATGATTGATGGCACTGTTGGACCCATTCGCAGTGCGTTTGGGTGGTCAATGCAGGTGCGTGGGCGGAAGTTTATTCAATTGTTCACTACTCTTTTCGCCTCCGGGATTCGGGCTTTCACTTCGGTGTCCATCAATTGGTTGGGAAATAGCACGGATTTCATTGCGAGATGACGATCGTCATTTCCTCCGAACGGTTGTGCCAATGTGATTCCCATTGGAAGGTGTGTGTTTCTCGAGGAGCCGTCAAATATAGCAAACATTTTACGATTTGGGTGTCATGAGCACGTACTTGAGAGGTTTTGGTAAATCCAAAACACTCCCAAAAACTATGTCGCGGAATCACGAACTGTGCCGATAATAAAGACAATCATCCAGGCAATCAAGAGCGACGTGCTCAACACCTTCGTCCCAATGCTATTGTTGCGGTCGCCGAAATCGACCATCATGGGAGAGTAATTTCTGAGAACCAAGCGCCAAAGATCGCTCCCCAGATGCCACTTTGCATAGCAAATACGAGTGAGTGTGTCAAGTGTGACTAATTGTATCGCGAAGGGGGATTTTCTCTGGCCGGGAAGTCTATTTGGGAATCAACTCATGGATCTCTCGATGAGGACATTGACAAACGCCCAGCAATTCAATTGGCAATCACTCATTCCAGGCAACTCGCGGAGCGCCTTTGATCTGCGGCGAGGCATCTCCTGGTGGCTCCCAATACTTTGACCTCATCAATCTCCAATCGATCTTCCACCCAGAGCACTTCTCTCGCGCACAGTCGTCGCGCGGCTCTTCTAGATCACTTATCTAGAGTATTTCGATGGTGTATGACTAGGACAAAAAAGGTTATTAATATTTCCAGCGAGAGATCTTGAGCAAATGCCGATCGCGAGACAAGTGAATTTTATACAAACGAGATTCTCTGGACAGCAATGATTATAATTATCACTAGAGATTAAAGAGTGAGATATGGGGAGATAATGTTCCAAGAGGTTCAGGAATTTGACCTCTGGCGAAGCTCTCACTGTCTAATTGAAAGATGATAGCTTGTAAGAATTCCTCAGATTCTCAACTGTGGCTGTAAAATTCCTGACTAACGTCGCACTGAACGTGGGAGATAGAATTGGATTCGGGGAATATTTAATTTGAGAACAAAATTTTGAGAAACAAGTAGAATATTTCTTGAAATTACTTTGATTCTCATAGCTTTTTTCGTATTCATTTGAATGTAAACAACCCTGGAAATGTTGAAGAACCTTTTGAAGATTAAAATTTGAATATTTCATAAAATTACACATATTTTATGGAAATGAAAAGGCATCGAGTTGAGATTTGTCACTAAATAACCTGTAGAAAGGCTTACATTATTATAATTGATCTCAAAGTGATCAGCATGAGAACTTTCCTTGATCATAAATATTTTCTCTAAAAATTGTTGTTTTCGCCTAAAATTTCTGATAATTGTGGCTCAACAGATTTGCTGTGAGTCTCAATTCCATCTTACCTGGGAAAAACGATCCAGAGGCGCACAATGACTCCCAAATGACTCTATAGCTTCGACGTGGAAAAATGTCAGTCCATTTTTTGGCAAATCCACTGACATCTCAGTTTTATTTTGTCGCCCAGACTCCGTCCGCCTAATTAATGGCACCCATTCAGGTGGAATCGCTGGCCGATTTGTAATTCCTCTGCACTATTGGAGTCGTAATTTACATGGTGAAGGTAATCTGGATGAAATGGACGATGTGTCAAGAGATTTTTGCAGTGAATGCCAGTGATTTCCCACTCGATCCACTCCATCTTCCCTGCTGTTCCCAAATTAATCCGTTCCATAAATTATATGCGGATCTGTGGCGGTGAAAATTCCCAGAGATTCCGCTTTTCTCAGAACGTCGGGGACTTTTCTTTTTGTCCCTTTGGCCAATTTATCATCTTTCGGGGCCTCCCTCAGCCCCGAACGATGCTGGTAGTGTCGCGCCTTGTCTCTCACCCTCGCGCTGGTGGCTGAACTCTGAGGTATGCACCGAAATCTCCGCCAGGCATCTCCCCAAATCGAATTTCGAGAGAGAGAGACGGCGGAAAAAACGAAGATAATCCGATTATGGTAATAAAAAAACCTGTTGGGTCAGGTGAAGTCGTCATCCGCGGAGGCTCTCCGGCCCGAGTCCCAGCCAAGTCGATTAATTCTCCGCGATGCTAGATCGAGGCGAGGAGACAGCCCGATAGGGCTTTGCTGAGGAAGCCCAGGCGAGCACACACACCTTTTTTGTGCGCTTCGCGACCCAAAGAGCCCGAGGATGGAGAGAAAATGTCATCTGAGAATCAAATTTATATTTATTTGCTTTTTTTGCCTGCCTTAATACATTAATATATGAGATAAGTAATCACATAATAACCTTAATGATCTTATAGCGTTACACATTGGGATAAAAACAAATTGTACATTAAAATAAATCTAGAAATTCCCTCCATCGCCACAATGGTGAAGATGGAGAGAAGCACATTCTCAGGCCTTATTTCACGTCTTATAACTCTTCTTATCCCACCTCGAGCGGTTGGAAGATTTAAATTAGATTGTATAGCTGTTGTGTGTCTTATATACACTCAGTATCTTAACTCATTCTGCCTTATCTTAAATATTCTGCTGCAGGTGATGGAGCTTTTCTGTTTATATGTTTATAAAAAAAAGAACCTTATCGTCTCTTGCAATTAAAATAAATGTTCTCTTACGCGCTAAGCTACAAAACAATACTTAATCGTTTTCCCACTGTGGTGGAAAAAATTGAACATTAATTATACAAAATATCTTAATGTGTCCCGATCGACATTAAACATATCGCAATGTTCTTCAGCTCCGCATGGAAAGGAGGTGACATGAAGAGGAAATTGAGAGACTGTCCATTTGCAGCGCTTAATGGCTTTTCGATGCCACTCACCCATTCCGTTCCCCCTCGAGAGACCGTTGAATTCAAGTAGCCAATAAATAATTGCGTCGCAAAGAGACATTTGCATCAGTGGCGTAGGAAACTGGGGCAATTTGTTAATTTTCACGTCAATTTCGACTGAATGGCGTCTCTGACATTCTTCCTCATCATTCGAAAGATCGTTTTTTGTGGTGGAAATTGAGGGAAAACCTGCGCCAGTTTCACGTACGCCACTGAATTCCATCTTCAGATACTCTATATATGTATCATATCACGCAGATAGCATAAGGAATGCATTAGGAGGAGGTTGAGTGCTGAATCTGCATTGAAAAACAAAGGTCTAACCTGCCAGAGGCCTTAGAGAGATTAAGTCTTGTCCCACTTGGTGGGTTCGTCGTCCTGCCAAGTCTTTCGTTAGCGCCTCATGATGTCCTCGATGCTGAAGCCAGTCTTTCGCGGCGGCGCAGCTGGAGCCGGAGGATCCGGCGCTACGGGCGGGGACAGGAGGAGTTCTTCGGGCGGCTTCAGCAGCGGCGGGTGGCGCGGCATGGACAGGGGATGGCCCATGTGGTGAGGACTGAGGATGTGCCGCGGCGGGAGCAGCGCAATGGGCTCCCCCTCTGGGCCCAGCGGCCGCTTGCGCAGCGGGATGTGGCCCAGGAAGGCTGCTCCGGGATCCAGAAGTCCGCTCGTCACGGTGGCCGTTGGGGCTTTGTGATGGAGATCCCGGCGCACGTGGAGCATCGGCACGTAGGGTTCAGGCTTGGGCTGCTGCCGCGGAATGTTGGTGCGATGGTCCGGAGGACGCAGAGAGATGGCGTCGGACATTGAGGGCCTCATTGTGTACTGATGGGAGCCCTCGTGGTGGCAGTGAGTCACCTCGACGGGCTCCACTTCTGTCTTTAGCGGTGGAGCTTCCAGTGTTTCCTTCTCATCCTCCACTTCAGGATCCTCGTCCTCTTCCTCATCTTCGGGCTCATCTTCTGCCGCAGGACAGTCGCGATCCTCTTCTGGAGCTTTGCTGGGAGATCTAGCACGAGCCGCGGGAGCCTCTCCTCGCCTCACTGGCGAGTGATCCGGAGAGTCCACTTCGAGAACAGTGTCCTCCTCGTCTCCGGTGAGGTGGCGCTCCTCCTCGCCCACGTCCAGCACTTCGCCAGGCACATCGCCCACGGCGTGCGTGAGTGCGTGCCGGCGCAGGTCGCAGTTCCGCCGGAACACCTTTCCGCAGGACGAGCACTCGTATGGCTTGTGATCGGTGTGCGTGAGCAGGTGAGTCTTGAGATTGGATCTCTGATTGAAGCTCCGGCTGCACACCGGGCACTTGTGCGGCGACTCCTCCATGTGCAGGATCTTGTGCACGGCCAGCGTGCGTGACTGGCAGAAGCCCTTGCCGCACTCCATGCACTTGAAGGGCTTCTCCTTGGAGTGGATGTACCTGGAATAGAAGAGAGCCAGATATTAACATTCCACCCTTAATTAGATCTTGCGCGCGCTCGTCTCTATTTTCCACCAATTTCATTGCCATGGCGCAAAGAATGTGAAATAATTGACTCTCCGCGGCAGTGCAATGCACTTGCAAGACTCCGCGGTCTGGGACATATACAGCCCGGGTAAAAAAGGCCAGCAAAATTGTGGTGTGCCGACGATCATGATCGAAAGAAGATGAGGAGAACGGCAAGATGAGGTGAGCGTCTTTTTTGCCGAAGAGGATGGCCTGCCTCTTGCCTTCGAGAGTGAGAGAGCAGAAAAAAGGTTGAGAGATTCCATAAAAGATTCTAATCTCGTGTGCCTCTGTGAAGCACACAAAGTGGCTGGAGTGAAATGGATTCTATTCCCCTCACTTGGGTACTCTTTCACTTGGATGGCTTTTTATAAATGGGATTTTATACATAAGACGAGCACAGCAGCCAAGGCGTTTCGGCGATACACGAGTGGAGAGCTCAATTAGAATACTGATATTTTATCATATTTTAATTAGGAACTATTTTGTGTTGAACAAATGTGATCTTTTGTAGTAAAATTTCTGCAATATACAACTTCATTTGTGTTTTCATAGTTCTGTCTCGACTATTTTGCACTCAGTGCGTGGCAAACTTCAATTAAAGTCAATGTCTGCCCTCAAATCACCTTGTGAAAGATGGATTTTCAGCTGAAATGCCCAAGACTTTCCAGCGTCTCATGGAATATTTTAATTACACCTGGATCTGATCAAATTTCAATAAAACTCCTTACATTTATCGCCACGAGATCACCAACAATAAAACTACATATCGAAAAATATCATCGAGGTGGGTTTAGCCTCACATGGTATTTATGAAGGAAAATGTGCTCAATAACAATAAAATGTATTAAAAGACACTTTCAATATAATCTGCGTGCGAGGCATTTCAACTTCCATCTCTGCTCCTTTCATATTTCTGGCTGGTACACCTTAATTAATACTCCAGCGAAGATGGGATTCTGCGGATTTATTCGCATGCAAAACGAAATCGATTCCAAGCATCGAGAGTTGAGGGAATTCTCGGTTCTCCGTCAGACAATCCAATTAAGGTGGGAATTGTGAGATTCATCTTTATTCTCGATGGCAGATAAGGCATGAGATTCGCGTGACAATGCCCCTAGCCAGGCTCTTTGGCTGTGGGGTTAATGAAGAAAAATCTCCTTCGCCATGTCGTTAATGTTAATTAATTTAATTGTCCAAGTGGTCGCGACCAATCAATTTCCATGGCGTGCAATACACGAAAAATTCCTCAAATACCCAAAGATAGGCTCACGAGTGTGAGAAAGAAGTGTGGTGTGTGTATCTTCAATGTTAATCAAAATTTGAACTGAAAGTTGGAATTTACTGTTCAACATATGGACTTTGCGGTACAATCACGATTTTTACTCACTCTATGATGGTTCATTGAATTCCCCATCCAATTTAATCCACCGCGAGAAGCCAAGAAACACAGAGAGAGAGAAAGGAATTTCTGGACGGTGTCCATGCGCACCCGCTTTCCCCTAAGCTTGTAAAAATTGTGAAAGCCTCTCCGACCCGATTTCTTGGTCATCGAAATGAAAATATTTGGCACCTCATTGAAAGGTGTTTAACGGCTCCACGCAAAATTCTGCACACCACTGAATTAATTTGCAATTAAGCGCGCAGCGAAATGATTTACAGCAAATGGAGGTTCTTATCGCCCGTCGATCTCTGTTGACTCAAAGGTGCACCGAATTTATTGAAATTGTGCAAGAAAACCACATTAATTTCCCTGCAATTTGCCAAGCTCGCCAGTCTTTTGTGTGCCACTCGACAATTAAAGGTGGATTTGGGCCGTGTGATTGACAATGTGGATGTTGTGCTCTCGGTTTGGTTGAAATGCACCATGAAAGATGGGAAAATTATTTAGAATATGACGAAACCAAGAGTGAAAAAAGACCACAGTGGAAAGCCTTAATATCAGTTTGATTGTGGATTTTCGTGACTGAGTATTTGTGGAGGCATAATTTCGAAGGCGCCTCCGGGCTAAGCGATTGGGAAGGAGAGAGATTAAATCTGTTGCTGTGTCTCATTCTTTTTATTTGTCAAAGAGCCTCTCTAGGCCTTTCCTTATTGGAGAGTCTGAGCGCAGAGAGATTTATAATGCACCTGAGAATGTCGAGAGGAAAGCTCCGAAAGAGTCACAGAGTGGAATGCAATCAAAAGCAAATTACTCTGTTTAGTATTAAAAGTCATTAGTTCATTAATGCGCCTCTCTTGGCTGGTAAAAATCATAAATGCGCCCATTAAATTGGGAATTGTTGTGCTGAGGCAGAAAAAAAGGAGACTTTTGCCATAAATAAATAACACATAATAGCAAAAGAGGCAATATTAATAAAAATAGAGGTGAAAAAAGTGGACGCCAATCACTCTTGCTTCTCTCGCAGACCATTTTTGACTTCTTCTGTCGAAAAAGGTGTGCGCTGAACTGTTTTATGTGACGGCAAACAGATTTGTAGAACCTTTTCCTGCACTTCACACAAGTTTGCTGTCCTTTTCTGCGTGCGAGGAGCAATTTGAGGTCTTAACATTCAACTTTTAAGGAGAAGTTTGTGTGTTTTTGACCAGCCTCGAGATTTTAGCTCAGCGCTCACGTCCACTTTTTCCTCCTGCGGCTGAGTTTGAGTGGAAACTGGAGCCAAAGTGGAGGAATTGGCCCTTGAGGCAATTTCTTGTCATACATCCATCGCTGCTACAGCTTTTTGAGCTCTGTCCATCGACGATGTCGTGTTGGAAAGCCATTACATTAAATTAAACATTCCGGACTCCGGAGTTAATCGAATGGTTGGAACGAAGAAATTTATATTGATTTTTCCTCTTTGACTCACACACGCGCATCATTTTTTCGTCTGCGAAGAGAGACCCAAAACCATGAGAAGATTTCTTAGAGACAACATTAATTAGAGTGTTCCCGTCAGATTCAACACTTTTCCTCTAATGAATGCTGTAAATATGCGCCGTTGTGGTCATTTTTTCTACCTCTGCCAAGCCACATCTCAATGCTAATTATATTTTGAGTCTGAAAAGAGTGGCTCTTCTCTCTATCTTCATCATGTCGCTTAAATCTCGGCTCTCAACTGCGCGCGCGAGATCTTCGTGCCAAAGGTGCGGGCCTTGGGGTTCTGATCAATGAGATTCTAGTGAATTTTTACGTGAAATCTCCTTACAAGCTGTCTCGATGTGAATTTACATAATGTCTTTTCCCTCTCTCGCCGCATTGTCGTGGCTGTGATGCTGAGACGTGAAGATATTTCATGAGTTTGTCCGTGAAAAATTGAAGAAGTTGTCACGCTCTCCCCCCGAAACCCCACCCTTCATTAGTAATCCTGATTATTTTCCTCGATAAAGTGCATCTCAGAGCAAAAATCACGAGCAGAAAACGAGCTCTTGTGCCTCGGAGGAGAATGACAGTAAGAACATAATCGCTGATATAATTTTCTTACGTACAGAATTTATGCCTTTTAATAACAATCCCCGCAAATGCTCTCAAGGGCTCTCGCTCAGCCTCCATTCGCCGTATCTTGGCTTCTTCGCCACGGCATAGAAGGAGAGGCTGCGAGAAGATGGGCAACAACACCCGAGACACTGCATCCGCGTGCAGAATAATTTTCTGCATCACCTGCATTTTTGATTTATGGAGAATCACTCGGGGCGAGTCGGTAATTAGAGATTCATTGTGGCGATCGCCGCCAGCACGGAGAGTTGTGTCCTCCAGACTCGATTTCATCCTCCCCACGAGAGAATGCTTATTTGCATCCTCATCGCCATACAGAGAATGCCATTCGTGCTGACGGTGTCACACTGTGTTTATGATCTTTCTGCATGGAAGACTTTATAGTTTTGCTTAATTAAAAGTGAAGTCAAGCGACAGTCCGCTGGAGCTGATGTTTTCCGTCCCGGTAGTCAAAAGTCATTAAATGCAACATTAAATTTTTCATATTTATATTTTACACACTCATGCGAATTCCACGATGCCATTTATGATTTGAGAGATCTCAGCAAAAACATTCCAACTCTGGCTCAACTCTTTCTCACGTTTAGAGCCGCGCTAAATTGAATTTTCTTCCTAGAATTTATGAAACTGCAAATTAAGATTGAAGAGTCTCTGGCGTGTTTTGCAGAAATATTATTTTATCTTCGAAGAACTGGGTTGCATTTGGACGTTCTTCTAGGAAGTTTGCTTGACAAAAACTCAGAGTAGAACCTTAAATGCGCAAATATAGCTCGGTTTTGTATGTTGCAAGGGAGAAATAATATGCCTTAAATCTGTACACCACTTTCACAGTCTCTGGATGGAATCCTTAACACTTGAGACACTCCTGAATGCCTCAAAAAAGGCATTTTCTATCGCCTTATCGACTCTTTCTTATGTTTTCGTGACTCATTCCTGGCTTATCACAATCTAATCTAGCCTTTTCCGTCTCAAGAAGTTAAAGCTTTTCAAATGCTACACACAGAGACATTTTTCTAGACTGAAATTACATTTTTGAGGTTATGATAGACTATTAAGCTCTTTTCTGTGCTGAAATTTAACTGATTTAAAATTTTTATAAAAGCTGTACACCACTTCTGACCATAATATTCCACCCTGGGTAGGTTTATTTGATTTGAAATTGCTGAAATCAACCGATAAGTCAGTTTATCTAGAATTCAGCTAGAATAAGTGGAAAAATCAAGGCTCAAATACATCTTGAACAATGTTTTTCTAGTCTTGAATCACAATATAAACTCTTGACATCATTTTAATCACAGGGAGTCAATAAATTTAACACACATATCCCAAGAAAGAGACTTTATTATTTATCTCTCGCCATGATGGTTGAACAAATTGTATAAATCAAATTCGTGGAGATTATTTTAATCAGGGAAAATCTGACATGTGAGAGATATACGATGCTAATCTTCCCGAGAGTGGAGACTTTCCTCGGGAGTGTTCTGAGAATGGCACAAAAGAGCGTACACCATTTATTAGCTAATGACTTCCCCTTGCCCCACTCAAAGGGAACCGACAGCTACGTGACGCAACGTCCATCATAATCTCTATTCTCATGTGTGAGGAATTTATCTGATTTTTATTCTTGCTCTCCACTTGAGGAATTAGCCGAAGAATGCCAGAGACTTTTTTTCGCATTCTTCGCTCTTCAGATATTTTGGTGTATCGCCGATCTGCTGGTATTAGAAAAAGCGAGATGCCCAAGTTGCCAGTGATATAGTAAATAGAATGGCGCACGGTGTGCAATTAAAGTGAAATTATCGGCATAATTGCAGGCTCGGAGAGAACATTTCTCGCATCGTGGAGTAACCTTTATGCAGCAGTTTAATTGAAATTTATTCAAATTCCCCGATAGTTGACCGATTCTCTGGTGTTCTTTTGCGCGCCAACTCTTGAGCTCGCGTATCTTCCATCGAGGCTCGCGAGACGAGAACCGGTCCAGCATGGGCCTATGGCCAGCAGTGTGGACTTTCCTCTTGGCTTTATGTGTACATTTATTGTGCTGCCTAAGACTCTGTGCCTCACCGTGAATGGCCTCTTCAGTCGCGAACGGAAATTTTCCCCAATAAATCCCATCAGCGAGAGCGAGAGACGCTAAATGGCCCTCCGATCGCATTAGTGTTTGTCATTCGAAGTTGAGGAATAAGAACGTGTGTCAATTAAGATACAACCATCCGGCAATTTATTGTAATCGCCACCACACGGACGGATTTATTGGCGGGTCCAGGAGTCGGAAATGGTAGAAGATTTCAGCTTGTCTTGGGTAATTTTTTTCGAGAGAGCGCGCGATCCAGATTGATTCGAGCGATAATGCAACGTCTGCCTCTCTCGTAAGTGAAATCCAGTTTTGTGGTGTGGTGTGGCCCAAAGTGATCTTCTATTTGTACTGCGAGAGCATCGATTGATTTCTTTTTCCCTTGTACACCTCGCGGTGCTCGTCATTCGTATGGAGAAAAACACATAAGAGAGGGAATATCGTAAAACCCGCTGAGCAACACACCGTGGCTCCCAATAAAACCACCACGATTGCAACTATTTTGCATTTTCAATGGACTTTGGGGCAGCTTTCGTGCCATTGCCGCTCGGGCGATCGCGCTGTTTGCCAATGTTTACAGCTTGTTGAATGAAATTCAACAGTCTCCAGACTGCACGATCTTATATTGCATTATGCAAAATATCCAAAAAAAAGGTTTCTTCGTGAAAAAGTGTTGGAGAGCACACGGACGCGGTCTTTGAGGCTGTTTTGCGGTCCGAACAGGGAGAGAAACTCCATTTCTGAGCCTCTTTCAATGGGCCATTCTCGAGGCGGAGGGATTAAAAGGTGCACTCGGAGGAAAGAGTTTGGAAACTCTGACGCTTTTCACTCCTAGAATACACCCGATTTGGGCTGAGTGTATCCGCCGCGATAGGTTATTAAGGCAAATGGCGGTGGAATAATGTTAAGTAATGGTCATCGAGAGAATGCTGCCTAATCTATCTGGGAGATCTATATTTTTCTTTTCATCCAAATGAGATTTGAGCTGAAAAAAGTGGGAGATTATGAGGGAGAAGAAGTCTTCCTACAGATCACAAGATTGATCGACAAGCGGGGAGTCAAATGATGGCCAGAGAGCGTGTGTGTCTCAATAGATATTCCCTCTCTGTATGCTGGAAATTTCTCACTCGCGCTCAGTGATATTGTGAGGCGCAGAAAAAGCTCTTGAACTGGTGTGAGTGTCGGAGGCTGACGGTAAAAATTGTAATTATTTCAGCCTTGTCCGTATAGCCTGGGCTCTATAATTTATGTTGGAAATTATATAGAGATCGACACACCTTCTCAACTCGCACTGCAACACAATCGCCGAAGACAAAAATATCAAATCAAATGGAATTGAGAGTCAGGGAGATGTAAAAAGCTCATTAATCACGAGAACATTCTAACTGAATCATTTAATTGTGTCTAAAATGGTCTCTCTTCTATCGATTTCGGGCCTCTCTTGTTTGCTCAGTTGCAGTTCAATCAACCCACAATCAATCGCGAGGGCATGAAGTTTGTGCCAGCATTGCCAGGTGCAAATACACTCTTTTATCACCGACAGAGTCAATCGTGATTTGACCACGGAGGGCCATTGATTGTGCGGTTTTTCGCGTGAAAAAGTCGCGAGAAGAGTGCATTAAAGATGCCTTTTAGGTGCCCGTAAAATGCCGCCCGCTGCCACAACGTGAGTTCACTTAATTAAAAAGCCTTTATTTTGACACCGAAAACAACTCTCTGATTGTCGTTCTCTCCTTCACACGCGTCTTCATGAGCACTCCTTGGGATGCGCGCGATCCCATTTATGAAGATGAAACAGCACTTCTTCCAGTGCGACTCTGAAGATCACATCGACCCGGATAGAGATTCCACTGAGTCTACGGCGCAAAATTGACTCAAGATGAGTACTCACACCCATACAATCACGGCCCCACGGAGGTTGAGGTGAACAAAAAATTACATGGCTCTGAGATGAGTAGCTTACCTGTGGTCGCGGAGGTGATCCTGCCGCCGGAAGGCCTTGCCGCAGATGTCGCAGGAGTAGGGCCTCTCGTCCGTGTGCGTCCTCTCGTGGATCAGCAGATTGTAGGACTTGGTGAACTGGCGGTTGCAGAACTTGCAGATGAACTGCTTCTTGGGCCGCGAGGCTCTGCCTGGCGCCCTGAGGAGTCGTCGATCCAGGCCGGAGTGCAATCCTGGCGGCACTCCTGGCTGGAACAGACCGGCGCCCGTAGGTGGGAATGTGAAACTGCCCGCAGTCGTTGGCGAGGGACTCGGTCCGGCCAGGAATGCCGCTGCAGGTGGATAGAGTCCTGGCGGAGGAGCTGGACCTTGGCCGGGTGTCCCTCTGGGCATTAGCATCGCCGCAGCCGCTTCCCTGAGAGCAATTTCCTTCCTCTTGTCCGCCATCATGGCGATCAGTTCATAGCTTGATCCTCTCTTTCCCTGCGCATCCTTGGGCAGCGGCTCGGGCCCATCCAGCAGTCCAGGATACATGGACGCTCTCAGGGATCGCGAGGGGAGAACCGGCACGAAGGCCGACGTCTCCCTGTGATGATGATGCTGAGCGGCAGGACTGAGCATCCCTGTGGCCAAGTGATGCTGATAAGCGAGCTGAGCTTCGTAGTTCGACGAGCCCGGAGTGGGAGGCGGATTTCTACCCCCAGATGAGCTCCTCATGAGGGACGACGAGCTGCCACTGGAGCCAGGCGATGATTGTAGAAACTGATCCACGCGGGAGGATCGAGGACGATCCTCCACAGCCTCAGTGCCTCCCAATGGCATTTTACATCAACTGGAAAGGATTCAAGAAACATGTGAAAAAGTAATTATTTTAATTGACTGGAAATCAATTGAATTGTAGTCACAGCTTAGCGACAAAGTATGTAAAACATATCAGACGATTTGTTTTTGGTTAATATTGCGAAATTTTTTATGCTCAAATACGCACATTTGTATGCTGAAGCTAAAATATTGAGACACCTTGTGCACAGTTTTAACTAACATGCTCTACACATTTGCGTATACGAAATTCACGATAAACTTCGCCATAGGAAACTGCTTTAATAACAGCTTAATGATAACCCACCTCAATTTAAGTTAGGTCATTTTTTACTCAAGCTAGTTTGACTTTATCAGATGCATGCTTAATTGAATAATGTGGCCAACATTTCGTGCCACGCTGAAGATAGTGATCTCGATACCATAACAATATTAATATAAATTACTGCTGGGGTCTCAATTAGGTTCATTTTAATTAAACCACTGCGCGATGTCTATTGAAGCCGATATACCATTGATTTCGCAAATATCTGGGCAAAAAGGGAAGCGCAAATTTTGCAATTAAGACGCATTCGAGACGTCCAACCGCACATTTCCCGCACTGAAAGTGATCGTGAATGTGTAAAGCGTAAACTTTTTCCAGTGAAACGCACGGCAACACCTTAAACGAGCACGCAGCCATAATTTCTGGATTTATGGTGTGCATCCAGCGACAATTGAAGATAAAGTCGCACCGAATTTCTCCACACACTGCGCATATCAGTCGAAAAGTTGGTCTCTCTACTGAACAACACTCTCTGGGGGCTTCTCTCCGCCCGTTTGTCATAATGTTTATGGGCTGGTGGGAAGTATGTGGTGTGCGTATCCCAGAAGTATTTGAAGTAGATAAGAGGAGTCTTCCATGGAAGAGTGACACAGGGAGGGTTTCAACATCCATCCTGTTTATTCAGCACTCAGGCTTTGGGTGTTTTTTTTTCCCTTCATTCTCTGGTCAAGAGCAGTCTAGGAAGATTGGATGCAATCTTGTGGAGATAAATTGCCACTTGCACTGGCAATAAATGCAAACGGGAGGCCACTTGTGATCTCGCTGTGCATCCCATGACCGAACAAAGAGACAATGGGTAGATTATTAAACAGTCGCGAAATAGCTCTTTTGCATGTTACTTTTATTAACTCCCCACAGCTGCCTCTCATCTCAAGAAATGTTCCTGCATTGTTCACGAGAGTCTCTTTAGAAATTCTTTCCAGCGTCGTCTCTCTCTTCTTTTTGCCTCCTTTCTTGTGGACCCGCGCGCTGTCGCTTCGGTCACAATGCCATATAACTCCTTTTCTGCATTCAATACCATTTTCTACAGGGAGACATAAATATTCCGGAGAGACTCTGTGGCCATTGTGTAGCGGGCGGGCCGCAGGGAGTGAGTCTTTGAGACATGATTTCGTGGTTTTACACATGGTTTTTCCGTGGAAGGCCAAACTTCCTCTGTGGAATTTGCCCCCAACGAGGGGAGAACAATGCAAATGTGCTCAGCGACAAAGTAAAAGCTCTCCGATCGAGAGTAGAGAGCAGCTTCTAGATTAGAATGACGGCTAATGCCAATGGTTTGTGCTGTCTTTGGTGTTTCTGTACCGATTTTCGATCATCTTCAGCGCAAATTCAGGAACCATTTATGAGTTGAGTGTTTGTTAATCAACTGTTCTATTTATTTATCCAATTCGGACAGAATTGATCAAAATGCTCTCCAATCTGGCCGATGATCAGCGCAAGAATCTCAGCATAAATAAACTGAACTGCGCTTATCTCTGGGTTCTCCTCACTGTGCGCGATCTTTTGCCCATGTTGTGTTGACTTATCGTCCAAGAGTGTGGAGGGAGAGAAAAGTTCTCTATATGGTGCTGGGATTGTATACACGCGGTAAATATTTAATTTACATGTACCCAAAGAGTCAAATACACTGAGAACCACTCACACAGATGTCCAAATGAGGCAACGGAGATTTGCCAGCGCATTTATAAGATTTTTTTTCTGAGACAGCGAGGAAAAGATTGGGATAATTTGCCTTATTTGTTTTTCTTTCCAAGTCGCCTTTTGTAGCCTTTCTGACTACGGAAAAGTGCATGCGTGTGTGCGTGTGTACATTTTGAGCTAAAAGCAAATAATTGTGCGGTAGAAAAAAAAACCGAAAATTGATTTCTGCTGAGGACGAAAGAAAAATAATCTCCGAGAGTGACTGTTTGGAACTGGAGTTTGCCAGGCGGTCCTCTCGAGTGACCATCGTCAGACATTGCGGCATCTTTGTTTGAAATTGATTTTATAAATCATAAAAGTCGGTAAATATTAACCAGCAATCAATGGTTTTAGCGTGCTGGTGTCTCTTGAGATGTTCGTTTGAGGCGTAGAATAGAAGACGAAAAAAACGCCATCCAACATTAGAGAGAGAGGCGCGCGCGCACACGAGAAGGAAAGTAGGAGAGAAAAAAGCTCTTATGATCATAATTTTAATTGAATTATTGCGCTGACGGAGTGACGAGGAGGAGAGATAGAAGCACTTTGTGAGCGTTTTGTGGTACAAAATGCCCGAGACTCATGGGATTCTTCGGCTCTGAGTACAAAACACATTTTGAGATCCGCTGAAGAAAGAGAGATCGAGTGAGAAAAAGGTGATGAAGCGGCCAACATGGCCGACGATGAACTGTTAAGGCGAAATCTCGGGTCGAGCGAGAGAGATTTAAAAGGCCCAAGGAAGTGGAGGAGCAAATACAGCGCAGTGTGAGAAATACCGAGGCATTGTGGGGCCACTGGGAAGTCACCCACCACGCGAGGTGCAGAGGAAAGCCAGAGCAGCACCTCTAGTCTCAAACTGTTTAATTATTCATTAAAGAGCGAGAGAAGAGCGGCCGTCGCGGCACCTCTCCTTTTGCCACCATTTAATTAATTATGAAAATTCACAGCTCCACAGAAGCCCGACCAGAAGCGGCTCAACAGTGGCGGTTACAGTCATGGTTTGCTGAATCGCGCGCGCTGCGGAAATGCTCAATATATGCCGTGTTGTGCAAAAGTGCGGGCTGCAAGTGTGGGTGTCAAGCCACAGCCCGGTAGGCGAAGATAAGGTTCTGCTGAGGTAGCAGAGAAGACGGTGAATTCATTATCAATAAATTTCAATTCTGACACGCCGTTGTCGCCGCGCCACCCATTTGTCGCCCCCGCGCTCCGAATTCATAATGGCTTTTTAATGCGATCTCTCGGCATTCATCCTCGATACGATCGCAGCGTGATTAATGGACATCTTACCTGACTCTTGCCTTTTTGCCGGGCTGCCAAATTCAGTAATCCAAAAAAAATAATCCACAAAATCCGATTTAGAGAGATAAATCCCAAAAGTGACACGCACACTGATCTCACTTTTCCAGCACTGAATCCAAGCGATCACTGTTCAACATTTTTGCAAGATCTTCACGATCACCAGCACTTGAGGTCCAGGGACTCACTTGAGAATCTTCTCTGCATTGTGGCGCGCACAGCCGAACTACAGGTGCTTCCAACTTGGTATTCTCACTGAAACTGAAGATCAATCGCGCTGTGAAATCCGACTTGACTCCACGAAGGCACTGGAGAGAGATGGATATGTTGGAGTGAGCAAGAGGGAGCGAGACGAAGAGAAGCCAGTTCTGTGGCGTGGTTTTTTCTGGAGATTGTCACTCAACAGGGCCGCACTGTCTTGCGGATGAAGTGGAAAATTCACGACCGAAAAATGAAGTAGGCCATCGTCTTCGGCAGGATAGCAGTGGCTGGGCGGAGCATCCGAGTGGGCGGAGCCATCGCATATCCTTCACTTAACGCAGCAGCTTCCACTTCGACTCTGGCGCGCAACCTACGCGGCATGATGGTTGATCGGTTGGTAGTAGAAAGAAAGAGAGACTCGGTGCTACCTCAGGAAGTCATGAGGCTTGTGGTAAACAGTGGAATAAGAGTTCTTCGGCACACCAATTGTTCCACCACACGAAGAGAAGGAGGTATATAATAACAGATTTAATGAATGCGCGAGTGTGTGTCGAATTGCTATACTTCTGAGAGACACACGGTCTTCTCTATGATCGAGATCTCTCCCATCTCACACACACGGAGGCTTCGCCCTGCGACAAGAGCAACAATAAATTTAAATTTTATTCAAACACTAAACGCTTTTACCTGTTGAATCCACTGACACGCTCTCGAAAATTGTGGGTGATTTACACATTTCCCCGATGGATCTAAATTTTCATTGCATTCCCAACCTCAAGAGGTCAGACACATCTCTCAGTCGATCGGTGGAATTCCTATCTTATCTCACTTCACTAAATCCTTTCGAAAAAATGCGCTGACCTCGGACATGTCACGCCGTCAACAAGTTTTATTGTGGAGGAAGCAATAAATAGGCACAAGATGAATTTTTCGGCGCATAAATATTCATGAGGGAAATTAGAGGTGATCGTCAACGATCCTGTGCTTGCGGTGTCTTCGAGGCAAATTTTGACCATCAATTTTTTCCGCTTCTCCACAAAAATGTGCCACCAGAGTGAGAACAACTTCTGCAGAGAGGCGCAAAAAAATAAGAGGCAAATCCGGAGAACAACAGTGACCAACAGCGACCATTTAGAGTGGCCTCAGCGTTTTTGCGGCCAGAGAGGCCAAATGCATTAGATGGATGAAGCGTGGACAATAGATCTTGGCTGCAGCAACACTGACAGGATACTTTTTGCACAATGGGACGCCGAAGAATTCCGCAGCCAATAATCGCTTTTCGAGTTTTTTGCCTGTTCGCCAAGAGAATTCTCTCAACCATGTAAGTGGTTAAACTCATGAAATACGATACAATTTCACAGGAAAAAGGAGCAGATGAGGCAAAAGTGCCCCTGACGCCTCAATTTGCAGGTGAATGGAAAAAATAGCAAAATCCTCAAAAACCACAGAAGCAAAAGAGAGTGAAGCAAAGCTGGCTTCTAAATAAACACTCAATTGAGAGGAGAGAAATTTGCGCATTCACAAAATTATAGGGTTTAGAGACAAAGTCAAGGGATTATTAATTGTTGCTTCCATAAATATTTTTCAAGTGTGTAAAATTTCGTGTCCGAAACACATTCAATTTGTCTGCAATTGTTCTACGAAACATTGGGCCAAAAATCAGATATGATCACTGGCGATGAAACCAACGATAGCCTCCATCAATTCCCACAAAAACGCCGTGCTCGAGGTAATACAAAAGCCCAAAAAGTGCACAAAAGATTAGATGGAATTTGCTTAATTTAATAGGATTTATTATATTTTCTCCCTTTTTCTCAGTTTTCTTTTTTTGTTCACCTTAAATTTCAAACATATTTTTTGGCAGTGAGCGTAGTTCATCGTAGTTGAAGAGATGTCTTCTCGTTTTAACTTTATTTGCTCTCTCTCTCTCTCGTCTGACCAATAAATTTTTCATACACGACGTCTATTCTTGACATCGAGATAAGAGATGATTAAATGCTTCTCTCCATTCTGTCCCATTTGTCTTTTCACCTAATAAAAGTTCTCTACATAAAATTTAAATATTCATCAAAACGAATGTGTATTTTCTTCACACCATCACGATTTTCCTACGCGATATAACAAAAGGGGTGAATACCACCCAAAATTTACGTCTTCTCTCACTCTTTCTTTCTAAACTTCTTTGCTATGAATCTGCCACAACTATCAAGTTACATAATTAATTACCTTTTGAATCTCATCGACAGAACATTAATGTAATTGTGTGTCTTGCTTTGTCTCTTGGCGTACTAATAACACTTAGGTAGTAATACAGATATATTTCTTACACGACAACATCTTCTCCTTCAACTCTCTTTTGGGGTTATTCATTCAAGTAAGTCCTATTATTAATAATATTTCTTTGGAATATTCTTATTCTTCGGTAGATTTCTTGTATATCTTTTCTAATAATTTACGCTTTCGTTTTTATTTCTCTATATATTTAATTTTTCCTCTTTAGTCTTTGTTGTTTATTGAGCGATTTCCTCTCTCTGGTTTAATTTTAAAAATGTAATTGTGCTTTTACCGAAGGGGAATAACATAAAAACCACTTAGAAAATGATATAATTCTACACATCTTTTCACACCAACTATATTTACCAACTGACCATAAAAGCACTTCGAGTGACTTCCCGTAAATTTATTCGACTAGAACATTCACGTACAATCATAACAAATTATGTCGTAATTTCTTTTTTCTCATTAATATTTAGATGGTTTTTTATTTATCTAGCATAATTTTTGTGCTTTGATATGAAATAATGTCAACAATTTTTCATCTTGTATAAATTTTTGGACATCAATCTCGTCATTTTCCTCTGAGGTAAACATTAACAATTGAGAAAGAAAGTGTAAATGAATTTTTCAAATAATTCCTCCCTTTATTAATATTGATTTATGGTCCTTTCACCATTTATTTAGTTTATCTTTATATCATTCTTTTTATTAAAAAATATATTTTACAGTTAGAATTAAAGCTCTAACATTTAAAATATATATATATTACTCTATTTTCAGCTTCACTTCTTCTGCCTTCTCGTCTGCATTAAATTTGAATAATGGTCAGTGCTACTTTTTGTGATTTTCCTTTTCTCTCTTTCCTTGAGCATCATTCCATTTAATTGTAACAAATTAGATTTTCGCATAAGACAAAGTCACGAATTCGTATTCCCATTTTTTTCGTATGTAATTTTCCATAGAATGATGAGATATTTTCAACCATTCCCTCTGATTCACTACGTCAACATTAACGACAAATATCTAAGATTCCTCTAAAGTTATTACATTGAAATATTCTACCAACGACGCAAAAACCCAAAAATGCATCCATAGAAATCATTCTTCCCTCATTTTTGCAAAAGACGACGCGAATCACGATGAATGGTGAGTCCATTAGCCTGCCTTCATCCACCTGTCGATGGAGTACTCGAGCGCTGCAACCCATCTGCGGAGAAATGCCATTGTTATGCAACAACATCAGTTAATTTGGGCGAGAGCGGCTCACCTCTTCTTGTCCATTTCCGTTTCGGTGGAGAAATAGTAATGCCTGAGCTTGGGCTCTGGCGGTGCCACCTCGAAAGCGTACTTCTTGCCCCCGGCCGTGCTCGTCGGCTGCACACGGTAGCCCTGCAGACAGGCCATGCCTGCCAAGAGAAGCAAATTCACAGATGCCACCAAATTTCGGCGATCGGCTCGATATGCAAATACTCACCGAAGGCGCTCTTGCTGTTGCCGTCGTGGTAGAAGTACATGCAGGCGTCCTTCAGCACGCAATAGCGCTTCGACCAGGCGCGCCAGCGACTGCCCAGCTTCAGCAGATACCCAAAGCAATCGGGCCGCGGCACGCAGTTGGGTGACAGACGCAGATTGCGCGTGCTCACCTCCAGCCACGGGTCACTCTGCTGCGACGCGTGACTCATCACGGCGACCCAACGGTTGGCGGCTTCCTCACTGTCCGCGGCGAGGAAGAGTGGCGGCGCCTCGGGTCCGTCAATCCGGAAGGCGAAGGGCTTCCCAATCTCACTCCCTGAGCAGTGCTCGACGCTGTGATTGGTCAGGAGAATTGCGCCCACCGGCTGAGAGTCCTGCGAATGAATTCAATTGGCAATTCATGAAGCTCCGTTTTGCATGTCACTCAAAATCATGCATTCAGCTCACCCCGTCCGTCTTGTAGAAGTAGAGACAGTGATCTGGCCTGAGAGTGAACCACCGCCTGACCCACTTGGCAGTGTTGACACTTCCGCTGGCGTAACCGCTCTGCCTCAGGAGGTATCCTGAGTAGATCGCCGCGTTGTCCGCTCCGTTGGCCGACAGCATGCCTATTGTCCTGGCCACTTCCAGCTCCAGCGTGTCACTGCCCGCGTGCGCGATCTTCACGACCTCCGAGTGACTCTTGTCGATCACAGAAATGCCATTCACCGACAGCACAATGTCGCCAACTTCCAGGCCCGACGACTCAGCCGGCGTGTCCGGCTCGATGGCCGACACCACGACGGGCTTCGAGCCATGAATCCTGAAGCCAAACTCCCCAGAGTCGCGACACACCACCACCGTCTTATCCGTCTCTGCAAGAACACGTGCGGAGGAGATTGAGAGGGATTTTCAGTTACACAAGCCCCGAGAATTGGTGGGAAATGTATTCTTGACGAAATACCACTCATGCCTCCGGATATGATTTTATTCGCAACGCTCTGTCGTGCCCATATCATTAGCATTAGCTTGAAAATCTCCTCGAGGCGCCCCCGAATGGAGTCAGGAGAACTCGACGAGGCGATCATTGCAATATCTTGGCGGAATGATACAAATTTTGAGAAAGAGAAGAATGTTTAAAAATAAAGTACATAATACAAATCAATTGGAGTGTCTATTTATACATCATCTCAAGCTGTGAAGCATCCGGAAAAACTCACCCAACATGATTGCTGTTGACGGATTTTTCGCAATGGCAGCGAAATTGAAGAATATGAGACAAAAACACAAATTGCAAAGTCAAAATCCGATTAAAAAGACATTTCTTCGTAAAACGCGCGTGTGGTTTTTTATCTTCACAGTAACAACACGAGAGCGAATGTAATGAGTGTGAAGGCGGTGATAGACTGAAGACGCAATCCAGTGTAATACTCAAGCAATGAGGGGCACGTCATTCGTCTGTAATCGGCAGAGCCGCCTTTTAATTTTAGCCTCGAGGAGATTTTCATTGTTTTTCCGCGGGCCGCAATGAAAAGTCTCACGGTGAAGCGCATTCTGGGGAAAATCCTCACGAGACTCTCGTGACATAATTACGCTGAGGTATTTCAGCACTAGGGATAAACTGTTGGCTTTTCCGCATTCGCTCGACAGGGAAAGTGCCAAGAATGTCAACTCACCGAAGCTGTTGATGCTCTGTCGCCGGTACATTTCAACACATGATCTGCGATGAACAAGGCGATGAGTGATGGCCTGATATTTCTTCCTGAAATCCTTCTCTGATTCCGTGGAGCCTCTGCGCTCTGAGTAGTCCCGAGCCTGATCTGAGAATCTCACTGGAATGAGGCACTCAATTAAACTCAAAGACATTAAAGGCTCTTCATTCTTAACCAACCTTCCATTGAGGGTATTTCGTGGCGCCTCCAGACATCCCGATTGGCGATGCAAATCCACGTTCCTAGTCGGTAAAATCCATGATAAATGCCTTGCTCAGGATCCACTTCCCTCGGATTGAAATCATCCGAAGGCACGACACAGGGACTCGATCCAGCCGGACGCAGGACACTCTTGGGAACCTCATCCTTCCCTCGCTCCTCACTCTTGGCCCTGGTGTCCGTTCTGTTCCTGTAGTGCCGGCGATCTCCATGTCGCTCCTCTGACCGAAATCTCTTGTCTAACTTCTTGTACAGCCTCGTGTGATGCGGAGCCCTGATGCCATCGGGGGAATCCGCAAATCCCGCCGGAGGCTGCACAATCTCTGCTCGCTCATCCTCGGCGGCGCCCAGAGACTCCTGCGAATCCGCGGCGGCCGTTATGATCTCCACCTCCTTGCCGCAGTGGTGGCAGTGAACCTGGTGCTCAGACATCGCATCCGCCTCGCTGTAGAAGACAGAATCGGAGCCCGGCGAGACGGATCGGAGGGACTCAGTTGAGAGCGCCTTGAGGCGCTTCACTGGCGAGGGATCCTTGTGCTTTCGCGGCGATCCGCCAGGACTGTAAGGCTGGTGAGGCGACATCGTTGGATACTTGGACGGGCTGTGTTTGCTTGCCACATGCATGGCTGGGGTTTGTTCCGGACTTCGTATCACGGGTGTTTTGATCCTGCGAATAAGGGTGTCCTCTCCTGAAGCACTTCGGTTCCTCGGGGATCTACAAGGACAATTCCAATTGTATAAAGTTCACAAAATCAAAAATAAATCATGTTTGGCTCACCTTCTAGTCTTTGGGCGAAATCTCTTGGCTTTGCTGGGACTCGTGCCATCCAGGATGTTTAAGGCTGTTCTGTCATCAGGACTGATTTGCTTAAATGCCGCACCAGGTTTTGGATGAGGAGAGGTGAAGCTCTTCTCCACTGGAGCGTCTTTCTCAAATTCCAGCTTCAGAGCGCCTTTCTTGCGCCTTCTCTCCTCGTCATTCCAGTCGTTCCTTCGTCTCCCTCTGACCACTTTCACCTCCGCCCCATCATCGTGGGGGCTTTCGTAGTAGCCAGAACTGGAATATCTCTTCTCACTTCTCTCATCATCTGAAATAGACTCGGGCTTCGGTTTCGGCGTTGCTCCCGGTTTGGATGTTCTTGACGGTGACGTCTTTGCTCTGGTGAAATCCTTCAGGCTGTAGCTTCCCGAGGAGCTGCTGCTCACTGAGTGAGCTGGAGATAGCTTCATGGCATGAGCTGGAGTTGGGCTGAGTTTCTGCTCATCCACTGCAACAGTGTCGTCGCAGACAGCGTCACCGCGTGCCAGACTATATATGGATGAGGCGCTCTCGAAGGACGAGCCGTCCTGCACTGTCGCCGTCTGGGAGCTTTGAGCTGAAAGTTGAACGGCAAAATAAGCTACTTCGCACACAGTTCACGACGCGAATAATGGATGACAGTCACATACAGGCATGGTTTTCGTGCCAAAATATCTCACAATTAACTCAATGGTCATTCCATGAATGAAACCAATAAGACTATAAGGACGAACTGAGGGTATAATACTCCTGAGAGACAACACTAAGAACGCAACAGCGAGACCTGCACTCAATTCTATTGGCACGGTGCAGGTCTCTAAGCAACACTGACCCCACATGAGTGACACATGACATTTAACAGGGCTCTTGGCGCACCTGGAACCTGTGTGGTCGATGAAGAACTAGCTCCTGACATTTTTATACCTTGAGCGCGCTTCGAGTTGTCCGTGCAGGTGATGTAATCCTCAGTATTAGTGCTGCCTTCAGATATATCTGTGCTGGTCTTGCAAATTTCCATCTTACTGGCCAAATCAGTGCTGTGTTGCTCCGGAGATTCCTGTCTTCTGTAAGGAAGTTGTTTCAATGTGAGTGAAGGGAAAATTCAATTAGAGTCTATTGAATTTTCCTCAGTGTATTTACTTGTGAATCGTGTGCGGCGATATCTCAAATTGGAGGCTGGACTTTCGAATCTCGCGCCTCAGCGACGGCGAGAGTGTTCTCGAAGTGCGTCTTATCTCGAGTTTCGGACTCTTCTCCTCCTGTTCCATGCTGAGCGACGGTGTCACTGCTATGGAAGGTGTGGGTCCCACAACCGTCGAACTCATGCTCATCGACGAGCGCCCACCTGCCCAAGAGGCCTTCGAGAGCACCTCAATCGGTAGAGCAGAGCTCGATGTTTGTGTCATTGCTGTTGCCATCGTCACCACGACCGGAGTCTGCAAGACATCGCGGGCATTACTCGCGTGCACGACCAATAAAATTCACATGAAAATCTGAATACATTGGAAAATTTCCCAAAGTGTCACCGTGTTGGAAAATGACCCAGAAAGTTAAGTGGGCGGGAGATCATGATAAAAACTTTTACGAGTGTTTTCCCGCGTTGGCAAATAAATACAATATGAGAATACACTTGATTTGCCACCCACACCACCTCCCCTCGAATACAGGAGGAAACTTGAGCTGCGGAAAATTCTGTGTAGCACACGAAAATGTTAAAAAGTTCAGCGAAGCATTTGTGGTTGTGCCTGAATTATTAAATATATGATGGAATATTTGTCAATTGTTGGAAATTCATGAAAAGGTGAACGTAAACATTTCATGAGATCCCCAATGCCGAGGATTTACTGTCTCAGCCTTGCTGCAATCAATTTTCCCTTCTACAGCCCCATCAGCATGCAGAACATGACTTGACGGTAACCGTTTTGAAATTTTAATAAGAGCATTTGAACCATAACCGCACGGCAAATGAACCTCCGCAGCCAGAGACACTTTTCTCATTCTTGGAGCCAAGCATAAATATAAACCTGCCCCGACTGTTTGCACATGAGATAATACGAAATGCGGGAGAAGTGTATGCGGAGCGGATCACGGAGCAATGATGCAAGCAAAGGATTGACGCACGGTTGAATTTTCTTCACGGCGATAAGCCATAAAGATGGAAACGTCCCGAGTGGAGGCGAAGGGATGTAATTGATTTACAAAGTAAAGGAGGAATGAAGTTAATTAATTGGGAAGAGAATGAGGGCCTTCGTGCAGAATGCACTCTGCAAAATGAATTTCGACGCATCGTATTGAGGATGTTTGAAGAAATTAAGATGAAACCAGCGAGAAAGTTCTGATTAAAGATGAAACGTGAGTATTAAAGTGGATGGACGATTTGCAGGAAAAACCTATCGATATAAAGCATGATATCAGCTGACTGGTCTCATTTTTATGCCTGCAAGGGGGAAATATTATATGGTGAGATGTGGAAGTATTTGGAAGTGTTTCATTTTTTCGAAGTGGTTCGTCCAAAAGTTACTTTCAAAAGAAATTAGCGCAATACATGAATGTTTCTTACACTATTTTCTTTAATAAAAATTCTAATTCCTTGTCTAGGTTATGTAATTAACTTTAAGCGTTTTAGGAATAATTAAGTGATTAAATAACATTAGAAAACACCAATTGATGCACTTTATTAGAGAAATCTGATGAAGATTATAAGTATTCAATATTTAACTCATACTTATTATGCTAATAATCTCTAATATACTATTTTAGGATACAAAATTGTCTTTTTAAAGAGCTATTTGATTGATTTTCTAATTGATTAATAACTGCACTTTAGACTTTGTCCGGATTTTCTATTAAAATACAATCTTCCCTTAGAATATAATCTTCCCTAATGAATCGGGGCTAAAGGGAACGATATACACACAAATTCTCATCCTGCCTCAGCAATCTCCATAAAATTATCACCTCTTACTCATGTTGCGTGCAATTTCAGTGGCTTTGCGTAGCCATTGCGATTGATTTGCAATTCAGTGGAGTGTATCGCTACTTGACTAATGATCACCCCTCGAGGGTGAGTGCGGGAAAAGAAATGAGCCGGAGAGCTCCATGTGGAACACCTTTGAGGCGTGACTTGCGTAGAAACTACGGGAATGCCATGAATAAAATCTCCTGCTCTCATCAATGGTCAATCGATTGGGGTGATCGAGAGTGGGTGGATTCCGCTGTATAAATTTGCAGAAAATGTACGTCCGTGAAAGCGGCGCTGCGGGTAGAAGGGCGCTCTGGGAGGATGTCCTGTTTCAGCCCACGAGGAAGCTGGGTTTGGGCGGCGCACTCGTGAGATTGAATATCACATTATAGGGCAAGGAGACCGTGCTTGGCTCTCGTTGCGCTCTTTAGACCAAGTCTAGACAATTTCCGGACTATATGTACACGCTATACTCAATTTTATTATATGTGGCACTAACAACGTCACCCCATTATGATTAAGGTGGTGTGAAAGGAAAATTGTGGGCAGCTACATTGTCGTGGTGCCTCATGAAAATGTTAATGACAGTGAAATTTAAATGGCCCAAAGGGCTTTCAATTCTCCAATCTTTTGAGTTATCGTGCAACATTTCGTGTCCTGTGTGTCACACTTTTGCGCCTAATAACAGGGCCATGCGAAGCCTAATTTGTTCCGCAAATTGACTTCAAAGGTCTAATTAGTGCTTGTGTGCCTTCAGAAATGCTCCATGCCTCAATAAGCCATTAATTTGGGCATGAGAGTGGCACGGATGCAAAGTCAAAGTTTAATTTCTTCAAATTCCCAGTCAAATTTGCATACAACAACACAAAGTCATGGCCAAAAAGATGCCCATAAACCAACAACTTTCCCTCAATTCTGTCTGATGTGGTTACGGCCAGGCTCTGCTCTTGCCAATTTTTTTTTTCACCATTTATTAAAATTGCTGTGTATATACTATGTAAGCTCTTTGTCTGCGGTCTTCTATCCTATCATTATTCTACTGTGCCAGAGCGTCCTCTTTTCCGCCACAATGCGGAAACTCTCGCAGTGCAAACTTTCCCCATTCCTCAATTCCTTAAAGTCGAGTCTCGTATTATTCTATCTACTTTTGAACCTTTTGAAATATCACAAAAAAAGTGTGCCACACTTGCGGCAGGGCGGAAAAACACTCGGACATTGTCAAAGGAATGCGTCTGTGGGGAGAAATCTAACCTGGTCCGTCTCCTGTTCCAGATCCAGTGCCTCAGTGTCCATGGAGCTCCTCTGCTGGTGCTGCAGAATCAAGTTTTTCCGCCGAGAAGTTGGAGTCAGCAGAGACGGTCCGGAGTCCGACGGGCTGGAAAACAAACAAGAGATGAGATTTTCCTCAAAGGATGCCTGTTGGCGTTATCTTGTGTAGCGCAGACAACTATGAAACTTGCACTTATTGCATCATAAGTTGGCGCGGAAAGTTTGCAGCGCACGAAAAGAGAACTTTTAATTGTGTTACACCGTGATCACAAGAGAATTAATAATTGAGAAATGATGAATCACACATCTCAGTTGAATGGATTCATTGCATAATTATTCTAGAACAGCTAACAATCTCTTTGATTATTGTAAGACAGAAATTAGTTAGTCAGCAAATTATCACTAGGCGAAGAAGGCTCTGTGAGACGCTCAGCTCTTTAAGATCCACTTACCTTTGCTCATTGGTCAGCACTGTGATCTGAGACTCATTCCAGATGCCATCAGAATGATCTCTCGACGTCAGATCCGCCGCAATGGAGTCTGAAGATGGAAAAGTCGAGTGTCCATGGACAGAAAGTTCATCCGGACAAGGTGAAGGTGGAGTGGATTTTGCAGTTCCCATTCCTGACAATCCAGCTTCCTGAATTGACGGATCTTCGAGACTGATGGATCGCTTCCTGAATGACTCTTTAGTGTATCTGAGGGTCTTCTCAGCGTGGGGAATGGTCAGTAGGTTTTGCTTATTGCAGATCCCCTCATCCTTGATGGGTGAGGATCGGTATTGATATTGCTCTTTGAGGTTCTCCCTCTCCAGCTGAGTATTCAGATCCTCATCGCTTGCTGACATTGCTGCCAGTGCCTCCATATTGCTCTCCCTTCGCTTCTCAAACAGGATCTCTCCTTCGGACAGGGTTTTCTGCAGGCGCTTCTTCCTGGCCATAGGACTAGATATTGGCGAAATGTTGGGCTTGAAATCTATAAAGATCTCCTTCTCTTCCCGGTCAGTTCTGGAGTCGCTCTCAGATTCGCACGTCGAGCAGGCTTCTTCTGACGTTATCGGCTGCTTCGTTGGGGCTTTTCTGGATAGTGAGTGAATTTCCGGCGAGATGACGTGATGTGAGGCTCTCCTGAGTTGCATGTGCGTTTCTTGAACTGGAGTGTACGACGACATCCGACGAGAAAGACGCTCGGATGGGGCGTTGGATTCTGTTGAGCTGTCCCTGGCCATTGAGCTCCTCCTGCCTTTGAGGATGCTCTCCGGGATAACACCGCTTCCACCATTCAGCAGCTCCGTGCTGCCAATCGTGACATGACCGCACGGATGGTGCTGATGCTCTCTCCGGGGCAGAGTGCTGGTGCGCTCCTCTCCTCTGTGGTGAATGCACGTTCTTCTGGGCAGACTGTGAGTCTCGTAGTCCCACTGCTGGTGGACAGGCTCCAGCTGTGCCTGCCTCGCCACCGCTGGCTCGAAAGCCATCGAGATGCTGTCCTGAGACGCCTTGGACGTCACCGCGCTGTCCTGAGAGTGATTCCTGGAGTGCGTGAAGATGTTCTCGGAGGAGAACATGTCACTCCTCGACGTCTCAATCTGACTCAGACGCGACGATGTCCTCGAGTGCATGTCTTGGAAGTGGCCTGTTGGCGTGGTGAGACTGAAAGGCGATCTGGGCGGCTCCTCTGATTGCGTCCGATGCAGCGGCTCGTGATCCCCAGGCGACTGCGGCACTTCCAGAGGTGACGTGGGTGATACTCCCACCCCCAGCCTCGTTGCCGCTTCAGACAGGCTCTTCGTCAGCTTCGTCCGGCCGTTCATGCCATTCGTCTGCGCTCCCTGAGACACCATTCGCACCTGGCAAATAGACGCACAACGCGGTGTTAGATTTATCGATGCTCTTTCACTGTTTGCACGGGAGATGGTCAGAATGGGAGATAAAAAAGAAACAAACGACGCTGGCTGAATAAAATCGAATGTTCGTTTAACCACCCACCGCACCAGTTTTGGGGGTGAAACGAGCCAATAGACATCTGTTCCCGCAAAATTCAAGTTTATGCGCCACCACAGTGGACTCGTTATGTCCCAAGGGGGTGTTTTTGGGGGAATCTGCTACAGTGTGTGACTATGGACCCCATTAAATTCCACTGAACATAACTTCCACCGAACTATCATTTGATTAAAGTCTTTACCATTGGATTCCACTTTGTTTTTTACACCCTTGCCAAATAGTTATGCCGCTGTCGGGGACAAAAAGTAATACACACTGACCCCTAAGTGGATTACTCGTAGTGTCAAGTCCGGAGATAAATTATTCAGTGCGCATAAATTTCCGGAGCGACAGAGGGACAGAGTTAAAATTTGCAATATTCCCGAAAATTATATGATAATAGCAAGGAAAATAATTACAGTCCCTTTGGGAGAATGAAGCCATTAGAGTCGTCTACATAATTAAATTTATATCTCTCAAGGCCCAAAATACACTTCAACACTATCTTCCATTAGCCCATCAAAGTGTGACACAGAAAAATCAATATCTCACCCCGACGCTCGTCTATGCGGTGTCTCACAGCGGCCATAAGGAGGCTCTTCTGTACTACTTTGTGTGGGAGCAAAACTACAAACTTTCCATACATAGTGTGTAATTACTGGGGGCTTAGTGACGGCATGAATGGCTGGAAGTGTGCTATAAAGCTCCTTCAAATTAGGATTATGTCCCGCTCTTGTGGCACACAACAATTACCATGGGATGTGTCAAGAGGAATTTCTTTCCGGTCTGTGATTACACCAGGAAAAAGTATACTAAGACAATTCCAGGCCTGCAGATAAACTCTGCCCTACATCTTCGCCTTCGCCTCGCCGGGATTAAAAATTCATTTTATTCAGGTTAAACTGCGACATAAATTTCCGGAGAAATATAATTTCCGTTCTCCCCCCTCCTCTTCCCATCCGAAAAACCGACAGACGAATGAGGAGACAATGCTACATCGAAGCGTCTATTAGCATAATCTAGGGCTGGGGCGGCATGTACATCAGGATAGCAAATAAAGGCTCTGTGCGCTAGATTCGAGATGGCTCGCAAAGTAATCCTGGGTAATCAGTGAGAGACATTGCTTTACTATAAAATTCATGAAAAGCAACAAGGTCGAGGCTCAGGCAGCAAACAGAGTCTCTCTGTGGCTTTGCGCCGAGAATGGTGGCTGGTTTGGGGTTGTGGAGATGCTCAAATGAGCCATAATGTCACCGGGTAAGACTTTGATGTTTACATTGCGTAATTATTCTTGATTTTTCAGGTCACACGAGCTTCATAGGATGATTAAAAACTGGGCATGTAGAATTAATGGTTCTGCAGAAGACTTGAATTTCGTACAAAAATCCAGGAAATGTTCCATTTTTCGAATTTATGTGCGACTTAAAGCCCTCATATTAACGACTTATTTAAAGTTGACGCTTCTCTATTCAGAATTACGGCAGAACACTGAATTTGGAGTGCAAACTCCTTCAAAACTTTGGACTTTTACCCATCACCCTGACATGAATCTTAAATAAGGGGCAATGAAATGGTAGTTAGAAGTAACGAAAGTTCCTACTTCTGACCCTACGGTCATCAAGCATATTGCGAGTGTCTTGGCAAGTTGAAGTCAGATTGTTTGCGAGTTTAATTCACTGGGAGGTGGGAATGTGCTAATCCGCAGGGAGACAGGATTTACTTACTCGGTGAATTGTTCGCGGACTGAGAGATAAATGGTGTGGCGGCAGTGGTTTCTTGCCGAGGCAAACCTCCGTCTGGGTGGCTTGCGTCTTCATTGCGCCCCTCTTGATTTTTTCCACCACGACAATCTCCTGCGGGGGCGGCGGCTGGGGCTGCGGCGGCGGCTGCAGGATGAGGTGCGTGGGCGGCAGCTGCTGAGCAGACAGCGTGATGGTGGGCTTCTTGCCCCCGATCAGGCGCTCCTGGCTGCGGGTCGCCGTGCTGCCCATCCGGGACAGCGGCCTCATGCCCATGGCCTCGTCGAAGGAGGTGAGGGTGTGTGATCGGGCGAAGCTCACATGTTTCGTCCTGGAAGATGTGCAGCAAATTTATACTTCAAAGTCCCCGAACTCAGCGTCTCAAGTCAGGGTATAAATTATGCGGTGTGCTCGGCGGCGGAGGAGAACATCCATTTTACATGGCATGTGCTTATGCTTCCCGTCGACACTTCATCTAGCCTCCTCCCCAGGCCCAACACATTCATCTTCCTCAACGAGAATCATTCCCGCCCGTAACAATACCTTAATCATACCCCGAATTTGCTCAATCTATGCGAACACCAGAGGATGTTGTTCACGCCAGAATTCCGCTGCACAGCGTGTGGGCCTAATGTGATTGGCCCCCGCACAGGAGACACCGCACACAACGCAACTTTTTCGCCATGGCACAATAATAATTGTTATAACATATTTTCGGTGGCATCGCACGCCCACTCCCACTGCAATTTGCGATGACGTGCGAATTGCTCGTGCTCTAATGTGACACCATACATTTTAATAAGGTTACATAGACGCTCTAAACCCATCAGCAACGTGTCAGCGGGTGGCTGACGCGGGGTTCGACAGGAGAAAGGGTTCGCGTGTCAGTTAATCTGGAAAATTGGTCGGATAGAATGGCTCAAATCGCAAGGCGATGAATTTTCCTGACACTTTTCGTCTGTCCCAGCATGACTTGAGGAAGCCGACGACGCAATTATGCTCAAATATAGACACAATGGCTCGAGATGATCTCTCGACAGCTTCAGCGTCGGGGCTGGTAATTGGCGAATTTATCCTGAATTTTTTATTTGGGCTGTGCTATCGTTATGTGTGGTTTCATGTGAATTTGCATAACTAATTAATTATTACTCATTTGTGTGTAATACTACATTACATACGCAATGATTATGCAATGAAATTTCCATATCACAAAATCACCTTAATCAGATTATAAATGCGCTATGAAAGTCACAATTAACGGATTTACAATACTCTAAATATCCATGAGAGACGCTCAAATGTAATTACTTTTAGCAACTATTTGTGGTGTAGTTTTGAAATTATATTCCCTGTTGAAGGAGAATTTTGTTTGAACAGCTTTAATGAAATGTTTAGGCGAATGTTCACATCAGCAGAGAATGAACAGCATATTTAATAAAGTATAATTAAAAATTCATTTCGATATTTTTCAGTTGCGAAAAACTGAATCAATTTCATTTCTAGCACTGAGATAACTATAATTAAAATGATTCGTTCAGAAAAATCTCTATATGATAGAGTCTGTTTTTGCGCGAATGAAAAGCTCATTGCAATATTGCAAGTGTAAATAAAAGAGAGTTTGAATTTCTTTCCAATTCTTTCTTAGCCAGTAATTGCATTTGAAATACCCACCAAAACGTCTACTAGATCTTCTACCTATTCAAATAAAATGTTTCAGTTTATTTCTCTATGAAAACGCAAAGTACCCTTCTTTGCATATTACCTACTGATAATTCTACTTATGCAAATATCGCGTTTTCCAATTTGCAAATGAAATGGCCAACATTTTCAATGCTAGAATTAAGACTCTTTACATAACTAAGTCACTTCATTAATATTCAGAGGGATTGCCCAGACCTCCAAGAACGCCCTGTAATTAGTTTGTAGCTAAGAAGAGCATTCTCCTCTCGTCTCTCATTAGACAGCGCGAATTTTGCCCTTTGCTTGAGTGGAAAAACTCCCCAGTTACTGATTGGGGCAAATCCATCCGAAAATTCCGTGAGAAGAAAAGCTGGGGCGAACCTCCACTCCAGATTCACTTCAGTGCGTCTCAATGGAAGTGTCGGGGGCGGGGAGAAAATCGATATTGGGACTGGCGTTTGCTCCAGAAATGAAGATGGGACTGTGCATCGCAGCATTTTTCCACACTGACTTTAGTGTCTTCTAAAGTGCGGCGGGATGATCGATGCCTCACTTTGCTGTATTCTGGGCTCTCACGCCGAATTTCCTCCCTGGAATGGAAGCTAGTGACGCTGAAGATTGAGTTTAGTTGCCTCGCATTATCCACCCCGCCCACGTGATTTGGAGCAATTTGAAATTAAACCATTCCGACACCATCATCAATCACATCTCTAATGGGTTAGTCAACTCTTTGGTGGGTCGCAGGGTGGGGAATTAGGGCGAATTACTTTGATAATCTCCCAGTTGCCGTCTTGCGGTTAAATTCTCACATCAACATACAATACGAGTGTGATGTATTGGCAGGAAACCATTGGGGAATTCGAGACGATGGGCTTCGTCTCTCCGACCCTTTTTCCTTTACAATTTTCAATTATAACTTTAGCGGAACACTCGAAGAATCACAAAAAGGCGGAAGAGACCATTGAAGAAAATGCCTTGCACAATTTCTATAAATAAATTTTCCAATTTAACATTTCATTTTCTCCATTTCCACCCAATGATCACCCAGCCAGTGCGCGCTGTATTTCTCAAGTGTACTTTTTTTCATCTTCACGCCAGGACAAGAAAAAGGGAAATAAATAGCTAATAAAGTCGTTTCCATTAAATCAATAAAATTGCCGACGGTATGAAGAAAATTTGCTTTTTTCACTCTCCTGATTCACCACAATGGAGATGGAAAAAAGGGCAGATCCTTGCCGTGTAGATGTTAGACATGAGGCGATACAATGGGAGGGACTTTTATTGGATGCCTTAGGTTTGGTGGTTGTGAATGATTTCGGCTTCAGTCGAATTGAGAGGATTGCGATTGTCTGACGAAAATCAATTGTACCAGTAAGATGACTTCCTACCTTTGGTTCTGTTCGTCTTAATCTCCCCACGACAGACTATCTTTTCCGCTTAGCGCTCGAGCATTGTTCCGCACATCTTATCGCAATTGAAGCTCAAATCCCTGACTTTCAAAAGCTCTCGCGTGGCACCCTGCTGAGTTAAATATTAAAAATTCATCCCAGCATTTTGTGTGCTCTTTTCACCCGAAATGTTGTCACTTCCGAAATGATAACACCCCCGCTTGGAACAATATTTGTTCGCCTTCATTCGTGTGATGCATAATGTAGATTTGCAGGGATTTAAATCTCTGCCTTTTAGCAGTTGCACTGAAAAGCGTGCGAAGTGGGCATCTGACGCCCATTTAATGCCCACAGAATGGCCGGATTTAGTAGTTTGAACCAAATTCACCATTGTTCGTAATCAATCATATTGAGTGACTGTGTGTAGATAATGGCAATGGGAGCGATTGCAAAGCAATTAAATTCCTTACCTCGGAGCACCAAGAATTGTCCCGTCCGTAGGCACAATGGGCGGCGGAGGTGGGGGCGGAATTCCAATATGAGTCGGACACTGATACATTCTGCAAAGACCACAATTGAGTTCCTCTATCGTGACTGTACTGGCAATCACCCTACCTTGCCAGATGTTCCGTGCTTTGGCTGAGGAACGCGCTTTCCTTGGGCGGGTACGACCCCACCACGTACGGTCCTCTGAAGTCGTCCTCGGGGCAGATGGGACGGGGGCCCTCGAGACGAACCGCCTCCTCGTCGGCGGGCATCCAGGTATAGCGCTTAGGATCGCCGCCAGTGAGAAAGGACGTGGGCCGTCGTCGGAAGTACGAGTTCTCGAGGTCCTCATCGTACAGGAGGACGTCATGAGGCACGGGGCCCGGCGGTGGGTACCTGTTGCGGAGCCCGCGACCAGGAAAGAGCGCATCGATTAATTAATTACAAGCAAATGATTAAACGGAACAGAATTGAAGGGAATTTCAGTGCTAACATATTCTAGATAGGATGACAAAGCCAAGATACTAATAATATAGGAGTCGTTGCAACTTTATTTTCACAATATTTTAAATAAAAGCTGTCAAGTACAGCTTATTACAGTCGCAAAACTGTGATGCAAATTTTACCATACAAAACATTTACGAAAGTGGCGACTTGGTATAATCTTTCATCTCTAAAACGCCCAGTCTAATTTGAAGTAATTTCACAATAAAGTGAAAAGTCTACGCAAGAAACGACGCCCGCGGGAGCATTTCATACAGGTGTATTGAGTAAATAAAGAAGACCATCAATTTCCAGTTAGAATTAATTAACAGCATCACAAAGTGGAGTTTTAAAATGGCTTCAAGCACTTTAACTTCTTCGCTGGCGATGAATTTCGGAATGGAAAATGGATGTTTTACCTGGGATACTTGTAGATTGGCGCATAATCGTGGATGTTCTCATCTGATGGCGCTCTTCGGCCCACACAGACGCCCAGAAAGGACTGAGGGGCTCCTCTTCCTGACCAACAACCGAAAAATCTTTCCCTGCGCGGCGGCTCGATGGAGCTCAATTGTCTGTCTGAGAGACAATACTGCAGAGCAAACAGAGTGCGAGAAAGAGAGAGAGAGGGGAAATATTAATTTTCACTCGCCTCTGTCAACATACCGATGAATTATGGGAATGGGAAATGGAAATTCAATAAGAGCTCTCGCTCCATCTTGATTAGAAAATGACAAAGTGGCGTTTTGACTTAATTCCCAAGGGGGTGGGTTTGGGAGCTTCATTAAATTGTCCCACTCGTCCGCCTTCGGAGTCAATAGGCAGCAGAAAAATGGGCAATCAACCTCATCGCGATGACAGGGATTCACGCCATCCCATCGGATAATTACTTGCTCTTTAATGTCCCCTCTGGAGTAGATCGATGTCTTCAGGAAGTGAGTCGATGTGGTGTGCGCTCTCGTTCGTCCCATGTTCTCATCCTCGGAATCGTAGCTCCGTCCCAGGAAGTGGTGATAACCCTGCAATGGCAGCAGTGAGAAGGAATGGAGAATTCCTCGAGAAAATTCCGCACTCACCTTCGACGAAGCCTCTATATTGCCGAGGGACGATGCATGGTGCAGACCTGCAAACAGAGGTGAAATATCATTAAAACTTTCCTCTCATCTCCATTTGATTTATGAACAAAATTTCCCCTTCGGCTAAATTCAGTGTATTTTTCAACCTTAAAAAAAAATAATAAGACGATTCGTGGCACAAAAGTTATGTTTGATTTTGAAGAACTCCGAACTCTCAAACCTCATTAACTACACGAAGCTCGAGATCAACTATGAAAACATCCTGCGGTGGAGTATATCATTTGAAGAGCGATGAAGTGTGTATGTTATGCAGCTCAGCAGCTATTGTGAAACTAATTTCGCACAATCGTTCAAGAAAGTTTCTATTCACTACAAGCTAACGCAGATAGTAGAGAATTTTCCTCGTAATTACATAAAACTGCCACTAAAGTGTGAACAAGAGTTGGCAGTAATTGAGTTTACCCGTCAAAACAGTTTCCATTCACACCGCAATACCATTGCAAATTGGATTTTTCGGATTAGCCGTCACAGAAAGCCATCTCAATCTACGCTATCGAATTCGCAGTGTCGCTGGGAAAATCACAACAGTGACAAAATTTGATGATTCCACCCAATTTGGTGTTAATAATGCATAGTTTTTGGCCATAAAAGTCAGAAGAAAACTTGCCAAATCTGCAGAGTATTAGAAAATTGCTCTCCTGACAAAATCTCTGTTTGATGTTCGTTCTCGCAGCGATTATATCACGCTGAAATAGCGTGGAATTGCTCAATCGATGCGGAGCAATTTCTGTCGTACTTGCAATTTATTTGTCTGATCGCCACACAGCTCCGCATCACCCCAATTTCTATCGTGGCCAAATTGAAAGGAATCTAATTTTTCTGGGTGGAGGCCTCTTTATCAATATTTCACTGTTCAGTGAACCGTGAAATCTTGAAAATTCCCTCAATGGAGACACTCTGAAACTGGCACATATGCTGAGAATCATCACCAAGGATGCCGCTCATATATCAATTTATCCCTGATTTATTGAACATATGCAAAGCTTTTGGGAGGAATATTTCAAAATCATTTCCCACCCTCGCGCATTGTGAATAATTCACACAATTTTCTTGTCGCACGATTAAAATTATATCCCACTCGAAATTCGCGTTCGCGTGAGTTTACAACATATTCCATGTTACTCCCGCACTTATTGGGATGTGACAAATTCTGAAGAGTGCCGCCCTCTCTGAAGCCCCGCCCATTTTATTGCTTTCTAAGTATATCGATATGAATATCTAATATTTATGTAGTTATATTGGAAATTCACCGTCTACTCAGTGATAGATTTCACCTCAATACATGTCAATTTATTTAAAATTATGTACTCTTACGATCCATACATATGTTAACACATATGTTCATGAAAGAATTTCGCCAAACTTCAATTGAAGTTTCAAACTTCAGCTTAATAATGCGCATCGCTTGTTTTATCCTCCAATAGTTTCGTCTATTTTCTAAGCTTTTCCTCACGATTACTTTCTTCAATGAAACTATTTAAAGTCTGACCAATAGAACAGTTGAAGATGTTTTTCTTCTAACCATTTGCCTTCAATTTTCCAGCATGTTGTCTCCACACTCGCTCAATTTGTTTCTTTCAAACTTTTTCCTCCATTCCCTTTTTGTGAAAACTTCGAACTTATTTAGGCGCGATGTCACCTTCTTCGCACCTTTTCGCTTGAATACAAGAAGTTTAGACGTGGAGGAAAGTTTCCCATCTGGATTTTGATTAATTTAGTTCATATGGATTTATGGACCTATGGGAAATCCTTATGGCAGTTCCGCACGAGATGTTGCATAATTAATTTTCATATACAGACATTCCTGAGAAATGCGATTCCAGCGAAGAATGTAACGTAACTCAATTTACCGGGACTGGTTTGTGTGTATGTGTGCGATGAATTAAGTGGCAATCGGAGTTGGTAGTCAAAGATAACTAATTAATCTCAATTTTGCTGTGTGGTCAGGATACACAATCTTTACAATATCACATGATTAATCGAGTATCTGGCGTGACAAATGAGTTTCATCTCTCCACATGTCTCAGTGCGAGAGCATCACAATTTTCCACCATCAATATGTTGGCTGTGCGAAGGTCGTGAGGGTGGGGAAGACTGTCGGGGGACCAAATGCAAAATTCCATAATGCCTGCGCTTGTGGAATGTTGACGATGTGAGTTTTGATATTTGATATGCGAAGAGTGGAGGCTCGCGTGATTAGTTCCATCGATTTATGAATAGAGCAAGACCAGTGAGAGTTCATTAGGCAGAAATTCACCCACGACACAGTTAATATCTTCCAACCACACCTGCTGTGATTACCTGTGCACAGGTTAAATTAGAGTGAATGAATACAGGAAATTCCTAATTAGTCAGAGGAGGGAAAAAACACGGGAAAAATCCCATCAATTGAAAACATTCGTTGCGCGCATTGACACCCAGCTAATTGTATTATCCGTGATTTTAATTAAATTAATTAATATGCGTCGCATCGTGTAATCGGCTAATATATCGAGTTCCTATGGATTTGACACATTACAATTGATTCAATTTATTTCGCGCCCTGGTTTTTTTGCACCCTCCACCGATTGTTGCCCATGTTGGAATTTGAAAAGCTGCAAATAGCCCATCACCCACCCTAAGTGGCATTTTCCCCTTGAAAAGTCCCCCACTTCCGGGGGCGATTTAGCGGTAGGGAAAATTTAATTTCAACTTTAACCTCCCGCAACTTCCCAATAAGATATTAATTACCAATGAGGATAACTTTCAATCACTAAGCAGATAAAGCAATTCCATTAGAGCCACTCAGAGTGTCTCTTTTTCCACAGGAATCCACCCCCACAGGCCCACTGTTTACACGAAATTTCCACCTCAGATGGTGTAAATTGAATTTGAGGTACGGCCGCAAATTGTCTCAGCGCAACAATGGTGAAGACTTTGAATGGAAAAACCTTTAATGGCGCAGCCCCTGAACAACGCGTTAATTGCTCGATGACGAGCATCACTAATTATTTCAGCGGAGATGAAGAATGATACTGTTTGCTGGTGGTTTTCGAAACTCCTTTTCGGAGAATCTTCACGCTCTTCCCGCGCCTCTGTTGGCTCTCAGTTGCCGCTGGAATTTATTGTGTAAATATTCAGCAAAATCCTATTAAGAATGCTTTACGGTAAGTTTTAATTAGTGAAATTCTTTATATGAGTACACAATTTTATGCCTTGCTTCGAGCTGAATTGTTTATACAGCCAGGAACATTAAACAGCGTATTTAAATGGTTTTCGCAGTGGTTTTTCCCTATCATTGAGAGGCTTCTTTGGGAGGATTTGTCAAATGAAATAAGCATTTTAAGTAATGAAATATTAATTTTAAAGCCTCTAAAAGGAACGACGAAGACAGGATGTGACTCTCTCTCTTAAGCTTCACAACGTTGAACAGTCTTTCTTGTAAAGAAACCGTAGAAAAAGTGAAGAAGTTTGTTTATGTTCCGCTTATGCAACTACAAAATATAAGACTTTTTCAGGATTGGTGAGGATTTATTTCCTCGCTTTAAATAACTCCTTGAATTATTTGCCAGCATAAAATAAAGCTCATTTTCATTTCAGTTTAATTGTGGAATATTTGATGATTCTCAAACTAGATTGAGGTCAAAATGTTGCGAATTAATCTTACTTAATAAGGAATTTTATAGGAATGCACAATAATTTCATCTCTAGAGTAAATATGCAAAAAATTCCCTGTGCTTTCTCTTTCGCTGGAATATTCTCATACACGTGTGCTCTTCATTATCCGCGTATCAACACTTGAAATTTAAATGATGTTCGTTTCCAACGATACGGTGTGCTAATGGGATTAAGCAATAAAATGTTTTCATATCTAATTAGACCAAATGGAAGTCAGATATGTGTTTTTGCATTCCTGGCATAGGTTTTGCCGTGCCGATGATAAAACTTTCCCGGCATTTTACTCCCCGTTCAGCTGAGTTACAGGAAAGTTTGCACATTTTCACGTCTGCACCGTTTTTGCCAGCTGGAAGTATTTTCTGGCGAGGTGTTGCGGAATTGTTGATAATTGTCCATATTTATATCTGCACAATACGAGGAGTATATTTACTTTCGTAAACGCTTTGAGACGCTCCTTTCCCATCCAAAATAAACTGTCACGTGAATGGAAACAGGGAAAAAAACTGCGTCTCGCGCAAGCTTCAATCCTTTAGAAATTCGCAGCACGTTTCATTAATATGGAGAGGAACTTGAAAGTGAATCGCGCTTTTGACAAAATGTGTAGAGTGTCTATTTCCGTCAATCCGGAAATATACACTTAAAAAGTACCTCACGATGTTCATCATATTAGGTGTATAGGGTGGAATGTACACAGCCCACGGATTCCATTATGCCACGTTTGAATATCTCGTGGAAATGCTCTCCTCCACTGGAAAATTCTGCTCCTTTGTGAACCACGCGAAATGCGAAATTTTATTGAGAGCACCCCCGAAATGTTAAGTATATGTGAAGGAGAGAGAGAAGGACTTTTGTGCTCCCTTCGCTCTCTAGTGGATTTTGGGCGGGAGTGGATTTTCCGGAGGTGATACATGAAAGTTCTCAATAGATTTTTCACATTCTCACACCCAAGCAGAGGGAATTTACAGCAAAAGGATCTCGAGCTGTGATTCTCACACATGAGTTCACAGGTATTGTAAGTGAGTAAAGATGGGGGGAGATTTCTTGAATTTTAAGGGGGAAGAATGAATTCCTGCGAAAACCCACATCTGACATTCAGTGCTTCTGATTAACTCTTTCTTGTCCCAAATTGCCTCTCGCTCCAGCGCATTTTCCCCGGCCACGCCTTCTAATGGAGTCGTGATGGGAAATATTGTCATTTTACTGAAAAATTTATCATTATTGCGGCAAATACGTTGAGAGCTTCGCTCTAGCTTAGAGCGAAGCTAGAGCGAGACTTTCACGCTGGAATGCATTAATCCAATCATCGGCATATATTATTAATAGGCCAATC